AACTTTGTCATTATATTATTTCAAGTACAATACTGACCAAGTTGCATTTTCAATTTTTCATCTTTCAAATTGAAATCCAAAAAAAAATGTATCAGAAGAAATTTGTTGATTTTTTCGGCTTTTCAATATTTAATTTAATTTATTCACCTTGTCTTCAAAGTCTCAGGGTAATATGAACAGTTGTCTTGAATTTTCAACCTTATCTAAAAAAAATAGGAATACATCGGTTGTTTGACTTCTGACAGAATCGCGCCAGCTTTCAAGAGAATAGTTGGTGAAAGATAAACATAAATTTGGATGCATAAATGGTTGAATGGAAACGCCATTTTCCAGCATCTTAGTGAAGACATTATTAATGGTGGTCTCCGTTTTCGGTAATCGCTTTTTCGGTGCCATCTTTGCGCTTGGTTGTCTGAGTTGCAGCATGTGACGTCTGGTTATGTCTGTGCAGCTATGCCGGCTCCGTGGCCACCACAGCCACCACTCATCTGGACGGCAACACCGCCCCCGGCATGGACTACTTGGACCAGCTGGACGACTGCAACATCGATCTGAACGGGCTGGTCAATTTCCAGGAGCTGATGCAGTAAGTTCGAAGGGTATGTTCGCGTATGTTCGGATTATTTCGGTTGTCGATGGTCACAACGATGGATGGTATCGGAAAGTAGTGTTGGGCGTTTTAGTTCACTTCTGTGATCGCTCAATTTAGTTCGATCTCCAATGGCGAACTAGATCGCTCTTCTAGTTCGTTAGTTCTTTTCGTTCGCCGATCGCCAAGCAACTACCGCTCGTAGCGTAGAGATCACATCAACCACAGCCGTCTTCAACTATCAAGCCGTGCTGAGATAATGGCAACGTCGCACGAACGGAAACCGTCGGTCCCATTCGCGCCTAGCAATACAACGGTTTTTATATGAGCGCGAGCTTTGAATGTTTGGTTCAACGTAATTTTCTCGGATTATTTTGTTGAATAGGTAAAAAATACACGACAGTGAACTTACACAGTGAAGAACGAGAAATAATGTGGTTGAATAATTCCCTTGGTGATGAACTGAAGCCGTAATTTTGAACATTTTGTTAAAATAAAACTTATGGAGATATCGAATTTTTCATTCATATCTGAGTGTTTGTCAGTTTGATCTGAGATGTTTTTTAATCTAGCTAGAATATTTTCAAGTTGTGACCGTCCATTCAATTACATATCATGAGTAAGAATCCATTGAGAAACGATTTGTGAAGTATTTACATCATTGGGATAAAAACCATTTGCTCGCAAATCTGATTCATAAAAATACAATTTATCATCAGTCATGGATTTTCCAAGTATCAATTTCAACTTTCTCAACATATTTCCTAACTAACTGTTCATAGTTGTGGATGAGGTCTGATTTTTCAAACTGTTCTATTATATTACTTTGAATATCTAAATATTTCTGACGTCTTTCATTTGGATCAGTTCTTTATGGTTTGGCTGGTTTTGGAAAATATTTTGGTAAATTTGGAAAAATTGGAGGAACTGCTGTTTTGACTAACTTTGGTGCTCATAACATTTTTTTTCCAATTGATCCATCTGGCAGAGGGAATGTATCATACCTGATGATATCTTTTTCAATAAAATGAATTGCACATACTGCAGAACGTTGAGATGGTGTCCAGTTTTTTCGAGGTATTGATGTTATTCACTTACTTCGCAATTCTTCCCCTTTTGGGAATAAAAAAACTGAGACATGATCCTTTCCCAGCTTTTTTTCAGATCTGTAATTCGACTTACATCCTGGCACACAACAATGAGAAGGCACATTTTATAAGGAATAATGAATTGCTTACTTATTTCCAGGAGTAAATTGAAAAAAACAAAACAAATTCCCTTGCAAATACACCAGCACTAGTACACTTCACTATAACCTCCAATTTAACACAATTTTGAATGCACTTGCCACACACTTTCAGTCTCGAGTCGATTCCTAGATTGTTGCTAATACTTTCAAAATTATTTGATCTCAATAATACACCAATTAATAATTGAAAACTTTAACAAAACCTTCCATAAACTCCTTGTTTACTTCCTACACAATACACTTTGAATGGCCGACAGGTGCAAGTTCGGTCGTTCGGACAATGTTGCCAAAGTCATTCTTCATGGCTTTCAATTGAAGACGGCTGTGCATCAACTAAATATTAAATTATGGCTAATTTGTCGAAATTTGCCACTCATAATACTGACGTCACGACTCAGTGAGTGAAACACATAGTTGCCAGATGTCCGACTACATATGGAAATGACAGAAATTGTCTGGCTATAATAGTTATTTATTATACAAGGAGAAAAAGTAGTAGATTTTAGCTCCAAGTTGTGTTGTCTCCCGAAGCGTAGCACTATTTTTTTCTGTGACAGAAGAAAGGACGAATCAATATTGAGAAGATATTACATTATTTTGAAAATTATCGACGTGAAATTTTAAGTTTTTAACAGTAGGGACACCTGCGTTGTAGGCATCTTTATCATTCTTTTGAAGTAATCAAATATCTGATGTCACATCTGTCAGTCTAATTCTGTGATTTGATTTCAAAAAAATGCGAACGGGCGAATTTTTCTACTTCCTTTGATTAGAGGTTTTTAGCCAAATGAGAATAAATACAATGAAAACAATTTGAAATGTATTTATCAATAAAAAAAACATTTCTCGAAAGTATTTTAGGGAGATTGATACACAACTCCAGTAGAAAGAATTTGGTTTGAAAAATTAACGATGTAGTGTTAAGAAAACTCGAAAATAATCTGACGATAGTGACGGTGACAGTTGTTGTCAAAGTATAGAAGTGTGTTGATTGAAAGCAAGGTGCATATTTATCGGTTATTGGGAATGCTAGGTAGCTTTTTTCAACTTCAAATGACTGGTGGTCGGTTTTAAGAAATTGAAGAAATTTCATTGGTTCTCAGAATAGGCGTGTATTAATCATTATGAAAGCACTTCTTTTCAATTTATTCTAATCAAAATCTAGTAGGCACGACCATGAAAGCATATGACCAGTCGTTAGTGATGAATACTTACAAGATTCGAGTTCCATTCCTGCGAATCTCGCATCAGAACGGTGAATTCGGGTTGATAACAACAGAGGTGGGTATATCTATTGAGAAACACACTTTACGCCTTGAAAATGACTAAATAAAGTTAGGTTCTATAGCTGGTGGAGGAAGATCATTCATAAATCCTGATTTTTTGCTCTACTACCACCTGTGGAAAGATTCCTAGTTGCTTTATGCTCAACTGGATATTTTAGATTTAGAACGAGTGTGTGAGACGTCAGAGAGAAAAGCGTTATTAATTTCCACCAGATTCATTGTGAAACGTGCATTTTGTACCTCCAAGTTGAGAAGGTGCAGAGCGCAGTTGCCGAGTTACCAACGGATATTCACCGAATGTTTGTTCACATAGCTGATATTAGGTCCCTACTCATAAAATGCAATGATAAATGAGGGCTAAAATTTTCAGTCTCACCAGTTGACGTTACTAAAACGTGAGGTCAATGTCAGGGTCAAAAATTCTGAAATTTCACCGGATAGTCCTCAAAGCTGTGGCCTGTTTTATCGAAAATATTCGGAAAAAATGATGTAGAATATTTGAACAAATAGAAAATTTGAAGATACGGAATTACTTGAGCAGACTTACGTTTTTTTCACTCTCAATGTGAAACTTTACGACCAATTCTGGATGAGGACGATGCGAAATTGACAGGAAAAGAAGAAGTATATTAATCAGCTCTACCAACTCAGACCTAACGTTTCAGTAGCGCCATCTGTTGGACAATAAATAATGTTAGCCCTCATTGCCATGACATTCTTCTATTGGATGAAAATCAGTGGCGGCTCGTGACTTTCATGACAGAGGAGGCAGAATGATATGAGATTTATTGTGAAAAACAACTCTCTACTCACCCAAATGAATAGCTTTAATGACATTCTGTTTACCAGTTAACCTGAACTTAATACTTGAAGAGATGTGTTCCTGTGATTCGCAGTGTCTATCCAATCCGCGACCCAAATTTTTCAAAGCATTATATCCTAATCGCCCCCAACATGATGACTTATCGGTTGAAAATAATACGCAGTACCAACAACATAGCTTATTCAGATCCCGTCAGCCAGATATATTTTTTATAATTATCAGAATTGAACGAACGATTTTGTTTGTTACCTGTTATAATCAGATTTTTTAATTCCGGTGTCGGACGTTTGTTTTTCACAATCAATTTATCTTCATAAGAAGCACTGAATGGGTTCACCAAAAAGTATTCCACTAAATCAGAAGTTTATAGAGCCCCTAACCATTAACCCAACATAAACAGAAACAATGCCCGCAATTCGCGACGCAACACGACAAACACGTGCTATTCGGGCATTTGCATTGCGCGAGTGAGTTTCGCGTTGTGAAGGAGTCTAGCCACCTATAGATGTTGCCAATTCGAAAATATTTACCTAAAAACAGGAAATAAATTCAAAATCCATGTATTTTGGTGTCCTTTTAATGAGAAAGTATAGATAATATCAGTTCAAGGAAAATCTCTAAGGAGGGTCAGCCTCCGTTGCCTCCTCTGAGGAGCCGCCAATAATGAAAATGTGCATTCCGTTCAATTGTCAATTATTGAATAATAGAATTATTTCGAATGATGATACTCGCATACGACAATTTCCAAACAACTCGACTATAATTATTAGCGACTCAATTTGGTGCATCTGGCAACGCTGGTTGGACCTACCTTGTTCTATACGTTTCAAGCCATCAAGCACTTCAGGCGGTTGTTTGCTTTCCAATACCATCTATGTGCGTTGAGTTATAACACTTTGTTTAACATATAAGAAGTGTTCAGAATATATCTTCTATGACTAAAAAACAGTAAAGATTGAGTCCAAGCTATGATACTGAAGTATTATTTCAGTGAGAAGATGAAATCCACCAAAACAATTTTCATAGGACTAAAAACTACTGAAACTTGTATAGGTTTTATAGATTAGGCCAATAAACATGGGTTTGTTTTGAGTAATTGATAATTAAATCTTGCTGTTTCATAAGTTTCATCAATATATTTCCTGAATTTTTGTGCTATTACCCAGCATTCTTTGTCCCAGTGATAGTAGAATTAGAATGAAAAAGTAAAGAGTTATAACTCACCGCCCAGTAAAGACCACTCTCTTTGTTCCATAGTTATATCAAGCCATTTGTTATGAGGCTGATTACTAGTAAGTGTGTTGATGATATTCGATGAGTATGCTTTTATATGAATGAGAGCAGGATCTCAAGTTCTGTATTGAATTTTCAAAAAAAAAATTCTCAAAATATCCACCTACTTCGTGGATTTGAATTGAGCAGATCATTTTTGTAGAATATTGTCACATACTATCTAGTTTATAATAATATACACGTTGGTTGATGCAGATTTTGTAGCAGCACTTTTACAAAATGATTTTTCAGAAGTCAAGTTCCTATAAATAGACTTTCAGAGTTGAGTAGAACTGTTAGCGTTATCTGATCATCAGTTGCTGAGCAGATGAAACGACTACTAATATGAACTTTTCTCCTGATGATGGCTTATATCAACTGTTGGAGTACTGCTATGAAATACTGACCTTGTATATTTAAAGAAACTATCACTACTCCTGTAGAATATCAATCAGAGTTAGATTAGCTTGGACCGAAAACAATAAAAATTAAAAATACGAAGTATACTTTGTTGATAATGGAGCAAATTAGTGGAGTAGAAATATAACTTAAGTGTTCTGTTTTTCTTCTTTGTACCATAGATTTTCCTTGGTGAGGAATTTCATATATTTTGTGTTATGTCTATAGAAATACCTGTATAGAAAGATTTTAAGTACAAATTGATTTTTTTTATTAACTTATCAGAAGAGTGCAATATACTCATAATTTGTGAATATCGATTTATTGATATATTAATTATTGGTGCTTCTGAGTTTTTATCATTGATATTTTAGATTGTATTTTCATCCATAGGTTAGGATGATTTTACCATTATTTGACCTATCCCCTTCCTGTTCTTTCTCATTACTTTTTCTTATCGAAACTATTTGCTTTACAAATGATTTTGTAATGGTTTATGTTTACCTCTCGTTTTTTCATAGGTGATATTTTTAGAAGAATATTGAGCTCGTTGCCCTATTTATTCAAAATATAGGCAATCCTTATGTTTTGATAGTCTTATAGATATTTATGTATATGGTGAAACCATCACAGCTGCTGAACTGACGAACGATCATTATAGAAACAAAAAAAAACATCTTGAGAATGATTGCGTAAATAGTATGTACATATCAAATATTTGCAATTACTATTTGTTTTACAAATTTATAATTGAAGGTCAATCGCCGAAATTAAAACTACTGATAAAATCGCATTTACCATTTTATCGTGCAAAATAACTTGGGACAAAGGTTAGATGTCGAATTTTGGCCATTTTACTTATTTAACCGCTGCAAAGTTCAGAATATACATGGTGTTCCTAAATGTCATGTGTACTTTCTTCGTTTTCGAGGTGTTTAGGTTGGGCATATCGATTGACTTTCTAATGATCACTGTATGAACTTTGAAAGTCCATGACCGGTAAATTCTGGAAATTTCAAAATTCTAGGTATTACTTTCTTTAATATTGACATGGGATTTAGGATCACCCTATATGAAATGTGATGGTTTCATTCATATGAAAATCGCCTAAATTATCATGTGCCTCCCTGTTGAATGTTGATCAATTTGTAGATGTGATATTTTATGCACTTTGGGCAAATTAGATATTTTCATACATTAGGTGTCACTTTGAGCAGTACCAGCCAAGGTTTTATCACAAATCTACTTGAATGTGTTTTCAAAGGTTCAATGTTATGTTATGACACCGTGCTATTTATTTGTTCATAACTTTTTATTTTGTTGAATGGTCTATTGTGCTCTTCAAAGTGACCCAATGTATATTGTTGAAAAATAAAAATATTAGAATTTTACATTAAATATAAACCTAACATGCAAATTCGATATCACTTGAAACACAAAATGTTTTCCAATTCACCCAGATTTCTGGCACTCTTTTCACACTTTCCATCATTTGAGATGAAGAGCGCACAGATTTCTCAATGTCTAAAGGAAAAAACCAAATGAAATTATAGCACTCTGAAAGTTGTTGAGATATTTATTGATATAGTTGTATGACATAAATTCATTGTGTTACCAAGTTTTTGTTTATATTTTGCATTTATGGTAGTGGATTTTTTTTTTGTTTTGGAATATTTTACTTACTACAAAATGAAAATGGATAGTTGGCTGTTTGCTATACAGTTGCTATGAATTTACAATAGTATTTTCATGTTGTTGAAATAATATTTTGTGAATATTGATAGCAAAGTAGGTATCATTGCTCTCGAAAATAAGTTCTCTCTCAATCGGCAATGACCGTGATATTTGCATTCTTCATCTACAAATAATAAATGATATAGAAATATTCCAAAAATGTTTCTGTTAGCTTTGTGGTCGAAAATATACACACACATACTTAAGCAACAAAGTATTATGGAAGTTGTTGACCCAAAAATAACTTACCACTGAATTCAGTTGGATTTGGGTGAACCTAAAGAAAAATAAGTATAGATCAACTTCGGGGAAGAATTTATGAATTTCTGGCGTGAAATGAATAACATGGGTAGAATTTGTGGGATAGACAATGGATTAAATATATTCAAGCGATAGAAATACGATAATAGGAAATGTAAATGAATATATATATCGAAGGTAACCAAGCTAAATTATGAAAAAAGTTCAAATTGATGTTTCTCTCACTACATTGTTTTACAAGTAACCAAAGGTTTTTTTTAACGCCTCCACACACTTTTATCAGAAGATTATAACTCTATGAAAATAATTTATCACAGAAACTAGATAAACTGTCAAATCAGGATGATTAGTAAAAAACATTTTCAGGAAAACATTTATTTGAACATTCTCCATAATTCAGCTGTCTACAAGTCCTTCAATTCCTGGTACTTTCCACTGAATCACCTTGTACAAGAATTTATAAAAATGCAGAATATTTCGATCAGAATACCTATTTCAGCCCTGACGATGGATTCAAACAATTTGAAACACTGAAAGCAGAGATTTTTGTGAGCTATAGAGACTACTTCAATAGTAAATTGACCACAAATTCAATTTTTCATATTCTGTTGCTTATTTATGATAAGGGTCATATTTATATTTCTGCACAATATGAACAATAACACATTCATATTACGCTGTTATATTGTTATATGATGGCAATAATTCAATTAAATAAAAATTGTAGCCTGCACATAACTATTCATTTCTAGTTTATATCATAATGTTCGTTAAATATGGGAAGTTCATTATTAAAATAATGAAATTACTTTTTGGGATATTGATCAATGATTGAAAAGAAAAAAATTAATTTTCAGTTATTCTGGGAAAAAAGTTGAGAAATTAGGATGCAAAACTCGAATACAAGCACCTTTTCACTGTGACCATTAGAGGGAGCTTACCAATGCACTTCTTATGGTATAGAATGGCCATAACTTTTTTCTCAGTGTAGTTATTATTCTCAACTTGAGAAGATTTTGTTTTCAAATTCTTATCGTGTGTTCAAAATAGATATAATTCAATGTTCGTCGTGGCATATAGCCAGGAAAGTAGTTGTTTCCTGTTGAATTAACCGAGAAAGAATTATTGTTTGCTCCACAAAGTAGATAATTTTGAGTGGTATAGCATGAGAAAAAAATCCAAAACGCCCTAGGAATACAAAAGTACAGGGGTGGGGTGGATCAAAGTGTGCCACACTGTAGTTACTTTTCAGTCCAGCCTAACTTCTTTTTTTTATTTTGTCAATCAGCTCGACGAGATCTTGCGGTTTAGAAACTCTGCATGATGATTCTAATGACGCAAACGGAATCAAAGAAGTTTTTACTTATTCAAAATCAGCAGTAAAATTTTATTCAGGTTCAACAATATATAGTCACATTGACTTGTTATCGATTTTGGTTAAAATTGGGCGATTTTTATAGAAAAAATAAAAATATATTCAATTTCTCATTTATATATTAATTCTGTATTGACAATTATTTTCAACAATATGCTATGATCACTTCTTTAAATAAATAGGTACATATGATATAAAGAAGTAACAACAAATAAAAAATAAAATCTACTTAATTCTGACCAGGTAACAGGAGCTTGAATTGTCAACTCTAAAAGATATTTTTGGGTATTCACATTTGTTTTTATCAATTCTGTATTGACAATTGTTTTCAACAATTTAATAGACTATGTACACTTCTCCAAATAAATACATATAATAGAATAGTTCTTAAAGAAGTAACAACAAATAAAAATCTACATAATTTGATGAGGTAACAATAAATCCTTTGAAATATCAGGATTAATATGAATTAAATATCCTTTTGATAATTTAAAAATGTCTCTTAATGAAAGTGAAATATTCAACCAACGAAATGATCCAAAAAGTCTAGAAGAGGTAATGGCAAATATAAAAACTATTTTGGATTTATATGATATCTGATAGAAAGTTCATCTACATGTAAGACTCCTGTGGACAATGCGAAAAAAAAGTCTGTTTTCACTGAATTAAATCCATAAACACGTCTACTTTTAGTCATCTTGTTCAAATTCAATCATATCCAAGAATTTAATATTTACATTGGACTATCTAAAGAAGTAATAACAAATAAAAATATAATCTAGTTTCGACGAGGTAACAAAACTTCCTTGAAAATATCACCACTTAATGAATTGCTTGTACTCCTCACTCACTGATATCCTTTTGATAGTCTCATACCCGATGATAATGCTAAAACTAAAAGTGGCGGACTGAATGAGTCGAGCACTCAGACCTTTGGTGAACATGCCGATACCTTCTTCTACCCACAAGTTTTTGAAGGCGTACCGCATAGAACCCGTCCTTTCTACTTGCAATCTGGCTCGCACTACGTCCAAAGGATTGGTGAGGATTGTCGTCGAGAAGCCTCCAAATGTTCCCGAGATGCTCTGTATGAGCAGGTGTGATACAGATGACGGTAGTATCAGGAATAATTGATCTAAAAATAAGCGGTGACAATACAGAGTGGGCCAAATTGGACGGTTTGAAAGGGAAAATCCACTTCTCGAACTAGGTAAAAGAAATATGATGTCCGTGTCATAAGTTAATTTTCTTGATAATCCCAATAGTGAGACCTGCATATCGCTCTCTATCTTCATTTCAGAGTTAGGTGTTTTTAAAAAGATGTGCATTTTTTTAAAAGTGGCCACATAGCAAAACTTTTTCGTGGCCAGATTTTTTAGCAAGATTTTTTGTGGCCAGATTTTTTAGCAAGAATTCTACTATCAATCTAGCTCGCACTACGTCCTAGGGATTAGTAACGATTGTCGTTAAGAAGCCCCCAATGTTTCCGAGATGATCTGTATGAGGAGGTGTGATACAGATGACGGTAGTATCAGGAATAATTGATCTAAAAATAAGCGGTAACAATACAGAGTGGGCCAAATTGGACGGTTTGAAAGGGAAAATCCACTTCTCGAACTAGGTAAAAGAAATATGATGTCCGTGTCATAAGTTAATTTTCTTGATAATCTCAATAGTGAGACCTGCATATCGCTCTCTATCTTCATTTCAGAGTTAGGTGTTTTTAAAAAATGTGCATTTTTTGAAAAGTGGCCACAACTTTTTTTAGCAAAATTTTTTGTGGCCAGATTTTTTAGCAAGATTTTTTGTGGCCAGATTTTTTAGCAAGAATTCTACTATCAATCTAGCTCATACTACGTCCTACGGATTAGTAACGATTATCGTTAATAAGAAGCCCTCCTATGTTCCCGATATGCTTTGTATGAGGTGGTGTGATACAGATGACGGTAGTATCAGGAATAATTGATCTAAAAATAAGCGGTAACAATACAGAGTGGGCCAAATTGGACGGTTTGAAAGGGAAAAACCACTTCTCGAACTAGGTAAAAAAAATATGATGCCCGTGTCATAAACTAATTTTCTTGATAATCTCGATAGTGAGACCTGCATATCGCTCTCTATCTTCATTTCAGAGTTAGGTGTTTTTAAAAAGATGTGCATTTTTTGAAAAGTGACCACAACTTTTTTTAGCAAGAATTCTACTATCAATCTAGCTCATACTACGTCCTAGGGATTAGTAACGATTATCGTTAATAAGAAGCCCTCCTATGTTCCCGATATGCTTTGTATGATGTGGTGTGATACAGATGACGGTAGTATCAGGAATAATTGATCTAAAAATAAGCGGTGACAATACAGGGTGGGCCAAATTGGACGGTTTGAAAGGGAAAACCCACTTCTCGAACTAGGTAAAAGAAATATGATGTCAGTGTGATAAACTAATTTTCTTGATAATCTCAATAGTGAGACCTGCATATCGCTCTCTATCTTCATTTCAGAGTTAGGTGTTTTTAAAAAATGTGCATTTTTTGAAAAGTGGCCACAACTTTTTTTTAGCATAATTTTTTGTGGCCAGATTTTTTAGCAAGATTTTTTGTGGCCAGATTTTTTAGCAAGAATTCTACTATCAATCTAGCTCGCACTACGTCCTAGGGATTAGTAACGATTGTCGTTAAGAAGCCCCCAATGTTCCCGAGATGATCTGTATGAGGTGGTGTGATACAGATGACGGTAGTATATATAATTGATCTAAAAATAAGCGGTGACGATACAGAGTGGGCCAAATTGGACGATTTCAAAGAAAAAATCGACTTCTCGAACTAGCTAAAAGACAACTGAGAGTTAATTTTCTTGACAAACTCAATAGTGAGACCTGCATATCGATCTCTATCTTCATTTCAGAGTAGTGTTTTTCAAAATGTGCATTTTTAGAAAAGTGGCCATAACTTTTTTTTAGCAAGATTTTTTGTGGCAAGATTTCTTAGCAACAATTCTACTTGCAATCTAGCTCGCACTACGTCCTAGGTAGGTAACGATTGTCGTTATAACGATTGTCGTTAAGAAGACCCCCAACGTTACCGAGATGCCCTGTATGAGGCGGTGTGATACAGATGACGGTATTATCAGGAATAGTTGATCTAAAAAAATAAGGGGTAACAATACAGAGTGGGCCAAATTGGTCGGTTTCAATGGAAAAATCCACTTCACGAACTAGGTAAAAGAAAAATGAGAGTTAATTTTCTTGACAAACTCAATAGTGAGACCTGCATATCGATCTCTATGTTCATTTCAGTTAGGTGTTTTTAAAAAATGTGCATATTTTTAGTAGTGGCCACAACTCTTTTTTGGCAAGGTTTTTTGTGGCAAGATTTTTTTGGAAGAATTCTACTTGCAATCTAGCTCATACTAGGTCCTACGGATTAGTAACGATTATCGGTAATAGTAAAGCCCCCCAAAGTTCCAGAAATGCTCTGTATGAGGTGGTATACAGATGACGGTAGTATCAGGAATAATTGATCTGAAAATTAGCGGTGACAATACAGAGTAGGCCAAATTTTTTGAAAAGTGGCCACAACTTTTTTAGCAAGATTTTTTGTGGCCAGATTTTTTAGCAAGATTTAGCAAGAATTCTAGCTCTCACTATGTCCTAGGGATTAGTAACGATTGTCGTTAATAAAAAGCCCCCCAATGTTCCCGAGATGCTCTGTATGAGGTGGTGTGATACAGATGACAGTAGTATCAGGAATAATTGATCTAAAAATAAGCGGTGACAATACAGAGTGGGCCAAATTGGACGGTTTGAAAGGGAAAATCCGTGACAGATCAAGTTTTCAACAGAAATTACACCTGCTTTGTAGGTATCTTCATCATGCTTTTGGAGTAATCAAATATCTGTCAGTCAAATTCTGTGATTTGATTAGTGGTTATTTAGTAATTTAAGTAACCAAGAAGTGGAATGGAAGATATAAGAACTTGCTGTTCTTTCTCAGAGTAAAAGTAATTTATGAAAAGTGACATTTAATAACATGTTAACAGAGATGAAATGCCAAATTTTTTTTTCCATCATTTTATCATAACATTTTGTGTTCTGACTGAGAATGTTATGTGAAAATATAGTTGTAATGAGATCCATGGGTCTTGAAATGGATGTGCCTAGCAAAAACTTGAGGTCACAGGTCACTTAAGATTTTGACACTGTTTACCTATATCCTTGTACTTATAGTAAAATGTACTCAATAAATTCATTTTAAAAGTAGGTCAGCAACATAACCTATTGAATAACTTTATATATAAATATTCCCACTCACTAGAATATTGTGACACTTCCAAATTATGATTGAACTGCTCAATATCACTCTTATAATTTTGATTCATCTATCAATGGGGTTTTTATAACTTTTTATGAAAGGCATAGCTTTCTTGGTGTATCACCCATATAATATTCTTTTTATACACAAGTTTTAGTCATAGTCCTTTCCTACTTTCTGTTTATATATCTGTATTTTCTGAGTGAATTGAAATCAATGCAGGAATATCTGAGTCAGCAACCAACATCAACAGGTGTTAGGTACTTCATAAATTAATTTTTTTCTATGATTATGTAACAAGTAGGTTCTTGATTGATGGGCAAATTTCCAGATCTTTCATACCTTGGTAGAAATGATAAAACCCCCACCATAGAGCAGAGTTAGGCATATATGCTGAGAGGCTGGCCCAATAGCCCCTGTAAAATCCCATTATCCCATCCATTTTGAAAATGTGTCTTGCTACATCTATTGTTAAAGATAATTTACTTTGGTAGGGTTTGAATTGCATTCCTAATGCACTGAAAGCCTGAAAAAATACTATCAACCACCAATAATCAGGAAGTTTCATCAACTAATACTTTTTCTTCTTTCCCCTTGATTCCCATCATCATCAAATGTTGACTGAGAACATCAAATGGTACAATCATTGTTTGACCTACTAAGGATGCAGCAGCTCCAGCTATCAGGACTCTAATGTTTGAGTCAACTATTTTTTTTTGTTTCAATATATGTCTAACTCCTTCAAATGTAGATATATAGAAAACACCTGAAAAAGTCCACTTACAGATATGAGTTTGGTACATAGGCAAGAGCAAGCTTACCACTGACTATTTGTACTGAAGATACCCAGAATCCTCTGTATAATCCACTGAAACCTTCATATCTATAGATTTTTCCATAGGCATCAAACATACCTTGAAACCAATTCATATACAATAAAATATAATTGTGAAAACAGCAAGCAAGGGCAATTAATATAAATATAATTTATTTCTCACCTGTATATAAATCATTGCGCTTTTGAACTTGCAGCCTGGTTTTTATCAGTGTTAAAGGATACAAGGCACATCTTACACTGAATGAACTCAACATGGATAATGGGAAAAATTTCGTTTTATCCATCATGTCCCATTCAATGTTCCTAATGATTTTTTGGTTGGAAGGTTTTACATCTTTGTCAAGCACAGTGAAAAAATCCATCTTTGCTCAAGTTGTTTCTTGAAAAATATTCTCATAGGAAAGGCACCTTATATCATGTTTTTATCAATTCAAGGATCAGCTGATATGTTTCAGCTCCAACTAGACTTTTGTCCACTTCGTTTTGTAACATCTCATGTCGTTTCATTTTGTTGTGTCTACATCACCAATTATTCCTTCCCTGCATTATGATAAATAAATTGGTTTTAAACTATGAACTTGATAGTAATAATATATAAAATTTAGAAAATCAATAAACTGACCTTCATGTTGACCATCTGACTTCATTCAATATAAATCAGAATTAGTCAACTGTCAAAGTCAATTGTCAAAACTAAAGGCAACTTGCCCTTTTGATAAAATTAAATAAAATGAGAAGAACCGGCAAAACTGAAAAGGACAATGTACGATTCCTTGGTACGAACCGAATCGGCATTGCCTCCGCCTCTGCTTTTCAAAAAAATAATTAGAATTTCAGTAGCCTTGCTAGAGCATTCCAGTCATTCCACCAAAACACGATACTGAAACGTGAGGTCAGGGTTGGTAGAACTGATAAATATACTTTATTCTCGTGTCATTTGGCTTCTTTAATACCTTAGATATGGAAGCAGGATGGACCAGTGCTGCCGTTTTGCAAGTAATTACTTGCATTTGCAAGTAATCACAAAGTTTTGCAGTAATCGGCAAGGATTCAACATTTTGCAAGGATTTTGCAAGGATTCTGAGTGAATGACCATGACGTCGTTTTGCGTAGTGTGTCAGTCGTGTTCCGTACTTTATTCGTTTTTCTGTGTTTTGATCTTCTGTGGTATTTGCGTATTTGTCATTATTGTCATTTTTGTGCTAGGCACTTCATTTTTGTGCTAGGCACTTGACTAATGGATCGAGGCTTGACTTGACACTGATGACAGTTGTCATCGACATTGACAATGGAAAATGACAAAGCAAAAATGGAGGCCTGCCTGCTGGCCTGCTGCCACCATTGAACAGTGTTTACATTGAGTTCATTGGCAGCCGCTGCTTGAGAAGTGAGCAAAGATGTAGAATATTTAATTATAATATAAGATCCTTATTGCGAGGAATTAGATAAAAAATTATAAATTAAACGATATGATCAGAAGGTGGTTGCTCAGTTCGGAAATTATTCAAATAATGATACAACCAGCTCATTTTGAGTGGAATATTTCCCAGAAAAAGAAGGATTCCAGTGATGGAGGAAGATCCCATCCTGTTACTTGGATAACCTTGGGCTTCTGGCCGCTAGATGTCACGTGCTTTTATACGTCATAGTTGTCAAATGTCAAAATAATGGCTGGTAGTTCAACCGTTTCAACACCTACAATTTTATATTATTCCATTTTCATTATTTTATTACGATGATACAGTGAAGCACACGAAATTATTTTGTGTAAAACATAAAATTCATAAGCATTTTGTAGAAAAATATTTGCAAGGATTTTGTCAGGATTTTCGAAATTTTGCCAGTAAAATGCAAGGATTCTGAAATAAATTTGCAAGTAATTCCACAAATTCGAGTGGCAGCACTGGGATGGACAGTAAGTTGCTTCTCCCTACTAGAGTGACCTAGACTTCCTACGCCTACGATATCTTCTCCGTCAATATTGTAAGAATCGGTATGATATTATCCACCAGAGATTAGCCACCCTCTGTTATCCACGTACGCATATATTTGAGAGCGTCGTTCTTTGAATTGTGCTTCAAGCGGTCTATCTCTGCTCGATCCAAATCAATGTGTTACATGATCTAAGGTTACAGACAGTATTTGTCATTGACACTTCTGTCAAGGATCTTCTGTCATATTGAATTTTTTTATTGTTCATTGTGTATGTGTAACTCATAATTGCATTTTATTTAAAGTTTCGATTGAAGTGTATGAGATTATTGGAAAATGAAATTGTGATTTGTTTTATGGAAGTATAGTAGTGGTGGAGACACTGATGATAGGTAGGTATTTTTGTAGCACAGAGCAAATACGTATATCTCTACCAAGGAAGCAAGCTGAACCCAATTTATTTTACCTCCTACGGGAGGTAATTTGTTTTTCTCTCGTGGGAGTGAATTGACAGGTTTGTGTCCTTAAATGATGAAGCAAATGCTTACTTTCGATGCAGTGAGTAGATAATAGCTATTTATATATCAAGGGAAGGAAGGTATCCATTACCTCCCGCGTGATGCACGACGCGTAGTGGAGGGCATTAAACACACATGGGAGGAAATGAACCTTTGCTCTCATGATATATATTCCATTAATCTGTGAGTACAGGATCTCAAATGATGATATATCTGCTATCTGCCATAGTTTACATTGCTTCTGGAATATCCTGAAAAAACTGGGATTAGTATTATGCTTTTCTGATTGCGCAATATATCATTCATTATAATTCACATCCACGAAAAAAAACATGGGTCTATCCTCTCGAGCACAGCTTCATTGAAACAACGACAGTTGATTTCCTAAAGTGCACAAATAATTTGGAAAAGAACTGGTATAAAACCACTGTTTATACCTAACTCTTAAAGGCGACACCCTCCTTTGTAGAGAGGCATTACGATCGCCAAAGTTGATACACTCCCCTCATAAGGGTACCTGACGTGATTTCATACACTCACAATGTCGACTAATTTTTCGACTGTTTGATTGAATTATCGATAATTGTCGTTTTTTATGAAGAAATGTTCGAAGAAGAACAAAATTACGATCTGTATTTAAATTTAATGTTCATGAAAACTTATCTTGGATATCTCGAGGGGTTAGTAACTCTGTGAAATGGTGGAACACAGTGCAATGAAATACTAGTGAAATGTCTATGAAATAGTTTGAAATGCTTGTGAAATACTTTGAAATGCTTGTGAAATACTTTGAAATGCTTGTGGAATACTTTGAAATGCCTGTGAAATGCATGTTAAATCCCTGTGAAATACTTTGAAATGGTTGTGAAAAGTTTTGAAATCCCTGTGAAATATTTTGAAATTGTTGTGAAATGCTTTGAAATGCATGTGAAATCTCTATGAAATACTTTGAAATGGTTGTGAAATACTTTGTAATATATGTAAAAAGGTTTTGAAATTTTTTGAAATGCCTAGTACCTACGTTCCTTCACCCCTTCCTCGAACCAATCAGAAGATTTCCCGCCAAGGGACCATACTTGTGCAACCACCATTACCACCAATAAGACGGCGAGCGAGACGGCGAGGCTTCTTATTGCATTGCTATGTTAGATATGTTGGTATTTTGCATTTTGATTCAATTCTGCTATTTCTAAGCACGCGGTGACTACAAACTGAAAGATTCCTCAGGAATGTATAATTGGGCTAAAAATGAATTCATTCAGCACTTCACGAAAGCACTGTATAATGCATACTTATTCGGTCTTGTGAGAAGACTAAAATTCTCATTATGGATTGTAAATTTATTTTTGTTCCTTGGAGTAAGAAATTGATTTATTTTCTCGCAATGTGCCTATTACTTGTTAGGAGAGATTAAAAAACTCACCAGTATGAAATGTGCATATAGTCCACATATGAATTCTCAAAACACTCCACAAAACACCGACACAACACAGAATAACGCAATGTAATCACTATACCGAACGATGTATTTGAAAGACACAGTATCATCACTCTTTTTAATAAACACAGTTGCAGGATTCAAAACAGTTCTTTTTCTACAAAATTGCTATTATTTCACAAAATCTTATCTCCCATGAAATGTCACATTTCAAGCAATGACCTGTCTAATAGATGAGCATTATCATATGGCTACAAGCCGAAGAAATAAATTTCGCTATCATCTGTGACAGTCATAGAAAAAGTATAGTATATAACTTGCACGGAATGCTTATTTCTGATTAAAATAACTATCATTATGTGCTCGTTAAACAATACAGGGTGATTCACGATGAGCGTTAATTAGACGGTTCTGGCAAACCAAGCAACAGATGAATCTGAAAATTTGATGGTTAGTATAACTTGACATGATCTACACAAACATCTAATATATAATTTAATTTTTTCAAATAGATTACCCTGTTTTTCATTACATTTTATAGATTTTAGTGATATAGGGTGTTCAAAATCGACATTTCTCAACTCAAAAATTTTTTCGTGTCGAAACTATTCATTATTTGTCGAATCGGCATACATCATGTCCCTATACTATTCCCTAGTCCCTTTACTATTTACTTACATTCAATTGGACCATATACAGGTTGATCCGAATTATGAATCCACCCTGTATTTGTTCCAATTAAATGTCGGTAGATAGTAAATCAAAAGTTGAGAGCCGTTTTGACCAATAATGACTGGACAAAAAAAAATCCTAAAGTAGAAAAATCTCGATTTTGAACACCCTATATCACTGTAATCATTCCCGCTAGACCTCAAGGGAGAATCTAAAAATGCAATGAAATCCAGAGTGTTGTGTTGAAAAGTCAAAGTTGCTGCTACATTCTAGTAGAAGTGGCAAAGCCGCTTGGTTTGAAATATTTTAGACGTGTAGATCATGTAAATTTATAAATACCATCAAATTTTCAGATTCATCTGTTGCTTGGTTTACCAGAAACGTCTAATTAAATCTTATTGTGAAATACCATGTATGTATGTATACTATTTCGCGATATGCACTAGTGACTAGATTCTTGCTTGAAACTGATACGAGCACTTTTAAGTAGACCGTACGCGATGCCATCTAACATAAGACTGACACGATTCACCAACTCGTCTCGAATGACTAATTAGTTGCGTCACCTTTCCATACTATCAATTTCCGAAACAAGTAGTTATCTATGACTAATAATAATAATGATGATATCTGAATGACATGGGGTGGTGAGATGGAACATATATACAGGGTCATTTGAAACAATAATCTCAACTTAAATGCGGACTTAGTCAACTTTCTAATTCATGATGAAATACAGTTTTTTTCGTAATAACTTGTAACTGCATTATTATTCAAAATTACATTTGAGGGATACCTAGGTGCATGTATAATAGTGTGTATTATAAAATTACATTTGATACATCACACATATGTTCCTTGCCGGTTCAATTTCAACTGTTGAGTTACCATTTTTCATTCGAATAAATTGGTGAAATGAATTTCAAAATTGAATTGAATGTAACAGGAGCATTATGAACTAACACGGTGTTATATTATTTTTCGGATCAAGAACCATTGTGTTGAAAAAGAATTATACTCCAATCTAAAACATAATGAAGCTAGGATTTACTACTTTCTTTTGACACAGCGCGTTAAATAGTTAGGATGAAAGAGTGAATTTTGTTTTTTCTGTATAATGATCAAGCTATCAGGTTTCTTAGAAACTGAAATTCAGGATAATATTCCGAATCATGAATCTACAATTTCACCAAAATCGAAAAGAATTATGAAAGTTACAAGGCGATCGATTTTGTTTAATTTTTTTGCCGGGTTTTTATGCCGGTGAGTGTGAGTTGGCTCTCAAGGGGAACTTTTTCTCTATTTTTCGTTCGTGGAATCTAGAGACTATGTATTATACACCAATTATGGTACAATCTGTATTATTATCACTTATAATCACACAAAAGCAACTTTTTTCTTGAAGTGGATATCTCAATGAGAATTTTGTTGTCTGGACACGAGCGCCACCTAGGGTAGAAGGAAAGAAGAACTCTAAAACAAATTCCATCTCGCAGTGGCCGAACGCTTCGTGGGTTTTAAATGCTGGGCTGTGTATACGTTGGGTCAGGTTCGCACCAGATGGCGGCCATGAAGCCATCTGGGACACCCCTGCAATGATGAGAGCCGAAAGCTCGAAACCGGTCAGTAGGTGGTCTAGCGTTCCTGAACAATTTAACCACAATTGAGCATTTAGGAAAGACATACTTGCGATCTTATTGGTCTTTACCAATGGTTGCATAGATAAGTAGAATAGGTATACCATTCTGCTATGCAAATATAATTTGATATGAGTACCTACATTATGCATGACTTATTCACCTGAAATTAGTAGTTGAGCTTAATTTTTGTGATCCAGAAAAATAATTTAATTGTTTTATTCGTAATTTGAATGCATTCCATATTTTTGATATTTGATGTAAATCACCAATTCGGAGTCGCAAATTCCTTGTTTAGAATTAAAATTGGATACAGGAACTTCGTATAATAAATAGTGAAACGGCTTTCCATAGTTTCTCGAGTACCTAATAGGAAATATAGTGAATCCAAAATATAAATGTTGATGGAAGATAAGGCTAAAGTGTAATTTCTATTTTAATTTGATATTGTAAATATTACAGTCTACTTCAGTGTATTGAAAATTTCATGTATGAAAAAGAGGTTTTTACGCGAATAAAGTTCACACGCCAATGTTCAGAAGGAGATATCCAGACAAAAAGCGTCCAAACCGTTTTGACGAAAATTCTTAAAATTTTGGCTACTTTTTGGTGGTGCCTTAATTTATTGGAGAGGTGTATAGAGTGGACAAAAAAATACACATTTTTACGATTTACTATAGAACTTTTATTTCAATAATATCTGAAATCAATTTTTCTTCGTACAAAAAAGGTACATAATAATTTTCTCTACCAAGTCCTTATGACAAAGAACTTATAAAACAAACGAATTCACTAGAAAACCACTCAAATGCAACAGAAATAAATACGAAATAATGAGTGAACAATGAATGACTTTATGGACAAAATGATGGAGGAGTTTCATTTTATATGGTGCGATGTCATAAGAATATTTAAGTTTACCCAAAATAATACACAAGTGCAAACACTTAATACCGTAGGTGATTAGTACACCGCATCCGAAATTTTTTATTACATTTATAAGTTACAATTGGCACTATCTCACTTCTCTTACACGCTCTCTCTCTCACACTTACTCGTGAACTATATATACATAACTACAAAGTAAGAGTATCTAGTGAGCTTGAGGCAATCCCTACTTGACGAATTCAAATACGTAGTTAGATATGAACTAAAATCAGCTCAGAGGAGTAGAAAAAAAGTAGTCAACATTTCAAGAGTCAATCAAAACTTCATTACCTTTTAGTCTTTATAAAGAGTATTCTCAAGAATATATACCAAGACACACAGAAATCCGAAATAAAGTAAACTTTAATAATTGTTGGGATGACCTCTAATAAATCATTACAATTTTCCAATAAATACAATTATATGGCAACATGGTACATCACGAGTGCTATAAAAATGATGTGAAGTCGATGTCTATATACAGTTATATCTCGCTCTCTTTCACAATCTTTCTCTCTCTCTCTCTCACACATACACAATATCATTCGCTTTATTCTCGCGCTGTGAATCTATACTAAACCTGTATTTGACCTAGAATTAATGACTGCCTACAAGTTACTTGTAGGAATACTGGCTCATTGATACAGGACATGAGTAATGGTATCTTTTTTCGGGAAGCTATTCCACACAATTCCGATAGGTTCATTATTGTTTACGTATCATATATATCGATGGAACTTCAAAATAATGGGCGCATGATAAAAATGCTTTCTTCTTGTACACACAATTAAGTCACAAAATTGAAAAAACAAATCGTCTTTTCACCTGTTTTCAAAACATATATTGTTCGCTAATGATCTCTCAAGCAATTTTCTACATTTGTAGCTTACAATAATATATACAGGGTTTTATTTAAGTATGTGGATTCTGAGAGGAAAAATTCATATAATCACGTCCAGAAATGCTTCGTTTTCGTTAAATACTCAAAATTATGTTTTACAATTTCAATGACACTTGGTGATCTTGATGTTAGCAGTATCAAGAAGCTTCTTTTTGTGTAATTAGATTGGAAATAATGATTCCAGTGGAAATAATGATTCCAGTGGCGTCGCAGTAGGTTACTTTTTCATCATTAATATGGTATAATAAGATTACTTCACTTCATCATAGTTTTTTCGATGTTCGATATTTTTATCAGATCAAACAAATAAAAATACAACTTTGTCCCCTGTTTTTCTGTATATCACTCAGTTTCTGAGGAAATAATGATAAATTGATTTGTCTCCAAATTTAAATGTAGGTATATAGGTGCCGTCAAATCAAACCTCCATGAGTATTATTATAATATTTTCAGACTTTTTCAGTCACCAAGCAGACTAAATTTTTCAATCATGAAAGCTTATACAGGGTAATCATGAAAAACAACAATCGATACTTCCAAATTCAACACCCTGGTATCTTGAAAACGAAGCATTTCAGGACCTATGTTTATATATGAACTTTTCGTCTTAGAATCACCAAAATGATTAACCCTTGAAGTTTGACCAGATACTTAAATAACACCTTGTATATTAGCAATAAAAGTTGATATAAATAATGCTATGGACAATGTTTGAAGAAAACATCAACAAAATCTTCACATTTGGAAAAACGATGAAAAGGTCTTTCACTGGAGTTGAACATTTATAGTGTTTGTTGAAAAGTGGCCCTACAACAATAAATATAAACTAAGAATTTAGGGTACAGCTAGAAGAATAATGCAGAACTATGATGAGAGTTGGTATAACAACAATTCTTATTCTTGTTCTAAATAACTCTTTCACTTTCATAGGTATAGGGTATAGGTACCCTAAATCATAAGTTTTTATACATTGCGGTACGACATTCAAACCCTTCATTTTATCGGTTGACATATGTTATTATCTCCTCTTTTCATGGAGATGACTGTGATATATTTTCCTCTAATCAAGTTATGTTAGGCCAGGAGTATTCCGAATTTCATTATGAGCTTGTAGAACAAACTTATAGCTTTCCAATTTGGAATAGTAAAAGTTCTCTCCGAAATCGTCTACATTTTTCCAGGAAGAAGTCATTCACTCACATATCCGTTTTTTCGGTATCCTCAGTTTATCAAACATCACAAAATTAGGTATACCACCGAATTGCATCGAACAAACTTCCCTAGTGCTTTGGATTTAAAACTTATGCAACGAATGATTGACATGAAGCTATATCTTCCGAAGAATTCCCATATATACCCGAAATCCTTATATCGGTCACACTAAATCACGTGATACACTTTCGATACATGCCCAGATAAATCTAGAAATATTAACGGGCCAAATTTGTATACCAATGGGCTTACGCCATGCCTCCACCAGTTTTGCAAAAATCACTAAACAAGCACGAATCTCAACATATCACGTGATGGTGATTCTTCGAAAGATTTAGACTCTCTCTTAATAATTGCAACATGCGGCACATCCCCAAAACACCACATAAAGTCGACTGGGCTGTAAAAGATGGTAAAACGAGCAGTGTTTCAGTGAGAACTGGCAGTGAGATAAACAATGAAGTAGGTATAGGTATCAAAAGTTCCACTAGCTAAAAATTTTAAAATTATTGTTAGTAACCGAAGTCATAGCCCGCCACATTCAACTCATCAGTGGGACAACTTACAATTACAATAAATAACATTCTGCTACTGAATAATAACTATATTTACTTATAGTTAATATTATTCTATTGTGGGCGTAGAGCTATGACTATGGTCGTAACAGGATAGGTCTAAAATGATATCTCTTTGAATTTGCGAATCTTCAATTTTTCTATCTGTCCCTTGAAAGAGTATGAAAACAACGTAGAGTTGCTTTTCAGGTTCATAACGTTATATTGACGTAATTTCTATGTCATTCAGGTTAATCTCACGTGATTCACACGATATTCTCATGTAATTATCACGAACTATTTCACATTGATTTCACATTCAGTTTACGTTAATTCCAATTATTATTATTTGCATCTCACGCGTTTTGAACGTTCGTCACGTTCCTTGTTGGAACCTCTAATCAAGATAAGAAAGCCGTATGGACAAAATTGACGAATCACAAGAGTCTATAGAGATTCCTACTCGTTACCTTTATGGTTATATTATGTGGTATTTTTGGAACAAAAACGTGCCAGATAAATTCTCTAGAATTATCTTAGATTGCGGTATAACCGCAAACGTACAGTCTCATCGAACACGCAGGATATACGTGAAAAGCATTTCAGATGGAGGAATGTGTTTTTCGCTAAAGAGGAGGGTAGGCTGTATGCTTATTCGTCTTGTTCAGTCTCTTCGCCAGGGCCGTACATGTCTGCCAACTTATCGAAACGCGGTCCCCAGGCACCCAAGTAATCGTACTCCTGAACTTCGTCGTCAGTACCTGAAAAAACCACACAATTCTTTGATTCTTAACGTCCAAAATCCCACTTGCGATCTACATTCTAGTTTTCGATCATTTTTTGAATATTAAAAGCATAAACGCATGGACTATTCAGTGGCCTATCAACAACAAATGGGGGACAATATAGGTATATACATGGGATACACGTAGAACTTTCATCACCAACATAAAATCAATCGACTCTATTTTTCCCAAGAAACAACATTTTAACATGGTGAAGATATGGATTTAACAAAATGAGAAAGACAGTAAACTATAATGCTCACGCTCCAGAAGATAATATTTAAGTTCATTTGGAAATTATTCTTATTCACTCAGTCGTGATAGGTACCTTAATGGAAATCTATAGTATTCGTTCAAAAAAAAAAACTCATAAAGATGGGATAAAATGTCAATATTACAGGAGTACCTATAGATGTCCCTTGACTTGCTTTTAAAATTTTTCAATCCCAATAGTAACAGTAATATTCTTTCTACCAACTTTGACTGAGATTAACCAAGATTCTCAGTGCAGGTCAATGGCTCAGTTGTATTACATGTTCCATTTATCTTAGTCTGAAGTAAGTTGTCTTGAGAATTTATTGAGACTATTTCTTTCCCCTCACCCAAACTGAGCTTTTTATTCATCTGGTGTTGTAGTGAGAAAAAGGTGAGACTGGAGTAATTCTAATAATTCTGTGGTTCTGTGCTGAAAATTGTGAGGTAATATTTTCATTTCGACATGCTTTCAGCTTTGAAGTTTCAGTCCATCCTTTGAATACTCACTACAATAATATCTCTATGCTACTCATTAATTTCCTCAGCCATTTTACATTTTGGTTGAATTATGTTGGGTTTTGTTTTCTTCCCTTGCCCTTCCTGACAGATAAAAACGTGTTCTTTTCTTTAATCAACAACTCAGACCCGTCTCACCTCCTTCTGACTCAATTAATCTCAGTAGTGAAAATGTGACAAGGTGAAAAGAATATTGCTAACCTTCAAGTTATTTGGTAGTGAATTGTATTGTATCATTACTCCATCGTGATATATATGGATTCTTTACCAATATCTGATTCAATTATTTTGGGACACCTTCGCTGTACGTAACTTATGTATCGTCGTCAGCACATCATGTCTTTGATCTTTGTTTTGGTGTCTTGTTAGAATGTAATTATGTCTATAATCGTTGAACATTTTATCGGAGCTGGATTCTCTGAAATCTCATCCTCTGTTTTTATCCGTTGTTTGTGTTCGGTGTACCTATTGTGCGATTTGTGCATTTTTGCTTGCTTTTTGTAGTTTGATCATCGATTTTGACGGAGTTTGCATGTCTGCTCTGTTCATTTTCATCGTGTTGCTGAATTCATCAGTGATTTCAATCAAGGTCACGTACTTCGCGTGGATTGATGGATCTGATGATATAATGCATTTAGCAACATAGTGTTTGTTTCTTGTTTTATGGCATATTGGTATGTTTAAAATTTTCCAAGGCCGGCCCAGTACGACATATACGCAGTGCACATACTCGCCAAGAAACATTTCCGATCACGTGGTATGCGCGTGTTCCATTTATACTTTTTAGAGTGAAACTAAGAACTAGCATTGTCCAGTGTCCTTCCATTTGTTGTTTATAGGTCAGTGGCTATCACAGCATATGTGCCAAGAAATAAATAAAAAATAATGATCTCTAATAAGTGTGCGTCATATATCTCTCCCGATGAAATCAGGGTCATTAACTATCACTGTTGTCATAAACCGTACAAGAATTAATCCAATTAATTCATATACAAAACGATAGATTATAATGTAGTGGAAGTTTGTTTATTATTTTGGATGAATAGGCAATCCAACTTAGGTTAGAATTAATATGACGCCTGTTGACACACACAAAAAAACAATCGATTGAATTATGTAACCGTAGCAATCAAATTATTTCTTTTTCCCATTTCCTGTGATCATAATATTTGTACTTCAGTTACGCTCAGAGATTCAGAAATGAAAACAACTTTTTAACAAAAAAATATTCCATTATGTGCCAACAGACGCGTACCTATACTTTGAAAGGTCGTTGGATTGCCTAATCAGAGACGTTTGTGTATAGGAGTACGAAGAGTATTTTGCGAAAATTCTTCTACCTGCACGGTAGAGAGGATTTGTTTTGGACATTGTCGTACCCGATGCCAAAGAACTGAGCGATCCGGCAGTGCTGCCGCCGCCCTCGTACGCGTAGTTCCGCAGATCGTCGAAAGGAGGCGCGTTCGGGTCGCCGTCCGCTCGCTTCTTGTGCTCGTCGATGAAAACGCCGACGTTCGGTTCTTGTCCCACTCCCAACATCGAAACTGCAACGAAACGGACAGTGTACACATAAGTAGATCATTTCGAAAAAATTCTGCTGCATGCTACGATTTTCACGATTGATACATTCAAATGAAACTGTGTCTTACTGGAACCTACGCTGGGACTAGAAGACATATTGTCTGGAAACTCAAACGAATTCAGAAGAAATTGGGGTTTCTTGGCAAAATTTCATAGGACTCAGCAGAACTCATTTCATTCGAATCACTCGCGTTACGAAGTATGGGGTATATGGGTGTTTACGAGCGGTCATGGACGATGGCGAGTGTTTACGGGTGTTTGCAAGTGCTTATATGCATTTGCAAGTGTTTATAGGCGTCCGCGAGAGTTTTTGGATGTTCGCTAAATATGAGTGTTTGTGGGTTCTGAGTTTTTTGGGGTTTCCGAGTGTTTTTGGATGTTTCCAAATGTTTATGGATGTTGACGAGTGTTTATTGGTGTTTGGGAGTGTGTTTAATTGAGTGTCTGGTAGTCTTTATAGGTGTTCATGAGTGGTTGTATTCATATCTACGCATTTTCGATCTTCAATTTTTAAACATATTTCATGATATCGAAGTACCCTCTCGACATAAATCATATTGAAAGCTGTCAAGGAAGAAGAACCAGCGGAGAAAAAATTACTCTAAGGTTTTCCGAGTTTGTATGTCTGCGAGCCTTATTGGCATTGCCGTTTATTATGATGGTCGTGCTCATTATGATAGCAACAAACTACCCCTAATATAACAACAGAGAAAAAATCACTCCTGTTGCTTACAATTCCTTCATATACCTATTTACGATTGTTTATGCTCTAATGGGCGTTTGTGTATGTTTATGATTGTTTGCGAGTTTTGTGAGTTTCTGCGAGTTTTCATGAGTGTTTACGATTTCTGTCTGGTCTTTGGTAGTTTTACAGATCGAAGCGGATACTTATCGGTCCGCTGATGGGGATCTGTAGGGACATGTTGCCTAAGGTCTAATTTTTGCGGTTGTTTATGTACGTTTGTGAATATTGCTGGGTGTCTGTGAGCATGTATGGGAATTTGCGTATGTTTATGATTGTTTGCGAGCATTTATAGGTGTTTGACCAGGAAGTATCAGTAATTTGCGAGTGTTAACGTGAATTTGTGAGTTTTGTGAGTGTCTGCAAATCTTCAGGGGGTGTTCACGATTATTAACGGTTGTGTTGATGTCTAGTGTTCAATATTTTGACAATTTGAAGTGTATATGGGGATACTTACATCCGATTTTAGGAGGGGCCAGTTCGGGTATCGGTCCGCCGATGGGGATCTGTAGGGGCGTGATGTCGAAGGCGGTCATGTCATCTTCGCCGCCTCCCTCGTCGTCGTAGTTGATGATGTTCTCTCTGACGTCGTCGTCGGGGCCGGGATATTTGATGTGCGCCTCTCTGCGTCTGTTGTATACCACGAACACCAACACTAGGACTGGAAAAACGGTTGAGGATTTGTGTTAGATCCGTGCCAGATGCGTTTTCTGATAAAACGTTGATGATCAGAGAAAAAAACTCCATGAGGGATGAATAGTCACAGATGGCACTACATGAGTTGTGACTCCAGATTGAAAGAACTGGTATCGATAGCAGCTACTACTCGTTTTGAATCATCTGATAGGTATTTCAAGAGTTACTGAAGTGACTTGATTCGCCATAAGCGACGAATGAATACTTCAAGTAGAACTGAAAAAGAATAAAACTTTGCTTCATACTATCTGTCACTATATTTTCCAAAAACTTCCGCTGGTAATTCCTGGAGAATAACCCGAAAAATACTATACAGTCAGCTGATCTGTTTTGGTTCAACTGAGGATGATTATTCAGTTATACGTGTATTCTAGCTTTTCATTGAGTGTTTCTGGTATAAGTATTTATATTTGATGATAAACAATGTTTTACAAAATGTGACCTAGATCATTTTTAGAAAAAATATTGAATGCCTCTGTCATTTCATCACCTCTGTAGGAGTTTTTTGTTGGATCTGACCTCATATATACTAACATATCTCATCCATCTAATGAACATTTTTCCTTTGAAAAACAAAGTTCTACATACTACAAGAAATGAATTCATCCATATAGATTTATGGAGTTCTTCATTTCTCTTTGCTTTATTCCACAGGATACAAAATAACGACAAGGTAAAAGCGTTGGTGTTCATATCGCGGTGGCTTGCTGGTCGTGGGTTCAAATCCAAACGACTGCAAAAATTTTTCTGATGGCCCAAGAAAGTGTTTGTTATCACACATTAGAAGGTGACGCTCTCGTCATTCCTTGCTCGCACGAGTCTCTCAACGACTTTTGAGGGTTGCTCGTAAGGTGGAAACCGAATGACGGATAGAACAATTTTTAAACAAACGATTTTCGAACTGAGCAATATATCAATCGCTCATCCAGGCTACATTTCCCCATGTTTAGGGTAAGTCACTATAATAAAATGTTACAGATATTTCGAACTTCGTTTTTCAAGGAGAAATTTCATATTTCTTCTAGCAATAATGATCCCAATCTAGCATTGGTCTCAAATGGAATGGTTGTGGAAATTCAATCAGGTGTATTACGAGCATGCTGTGCAGATGAATATTACCAATAGCTAAAAAAACTGTATCATATGTACTCATGTCAAATTCAGAGATACCTGACTACATCTTGGAGTATTATATGTATATTCGATCTCTGAACACTAATGTGATATAACATATAATAGATATTGATTATATTGAAAACTGAGATGTTTATAATTCCTCTGGTGTGCCCACTCTTCAATCGTTTCAGACTAACTCTCGATCAGCTATCAGCTCTCGATATGAACAATTAAATGCGAGTCCGGAAATTAGGGTTCTCATATCCCATGATAGATGGCGTAAACGATGGACAATTTCTTGGAAAATTTCAAAATGCGTTCTGAATCTTATTATGAACTAGACTTTCAAGGATGTTTTTATGAATGATAATTAATGAGAACATTATTAGTATATTGAGCAGGTATTGATATTATATTATATATTAGGTAGTTGAGTGTATTGTGCTTTCTTCATGGACTGATCATGCTGCGATGTGTGCGGATTATTTGAAAATCCGAACATTCGATCTATTTTATGTACTAAAAGTGAGTGAATAAACTATCATCACAGAATTTTCTTGAGTTAGGACTTCGTGTCGTTCATGAATTCACGACTGAAAGGCGGAAATATAACGCACCGTTTCCATCTACACAAAAAATTGTGAAAATGAAAAGGTGAACTCAAATAAATGTGTCATGATGCCTGTAAATTTGGTTTGAAACTTCGGAAATTTAGCAAGATTCTCCCACGCCTCGCTAGTTTTACAAAGTAGGCGATATCGAGAGATTTCTAAACTCCTTTCAATAGGAAGTGATAACACCATTTGACTTTCTATACATCTATTCGAAAACAATGAAATGAAGAGTAGCAGTAACAGATACTTACAGTAGTTAACCATGGAACTTGGATTACATACGTCCGAAATCAGAAGTAACCGGACTATAAAGTTTATTATCTTTTCATCAAACCCCTCTATGAACAATGAGGGCTTACATTTTCACTTTCACCGCTCACCAGTTTGCGCTACTAAAACGTGAGGTTAGTGTCAAAGTCAAAAATCCCAAAATTTTGCCGGATAGCCTTAGAGACTACGGCCTGTTTCATCGAACATATTCGAAAAAAATGATGTAGAATATTTGAACGAATAGATCACTTCAAGTTATCAAAAGACTTGAGCCGACTTACGTTTTTTTACTATCAATGTGGACCTTTACGAACAATTCTCACATTGACGGAGAAGAAGATATCGTAGTGAGGCCAAATGACACGAGAATAAGAAATATATTTTTAGCAGTTCTACCAACCCTGACCTCACGTTTCAGTGGCGCGTTTTGATGAACAATAAATAATGTTAGCCCTCATTGTACAAGATTGAATAGATGCGAAGTTCGTAGAAATTATTAGTATGATTGTATGATTAAATGAATAGATTTTTGAACATTCAACTTGTGTTGACATTTTGCGAGCACACACGATCTATAAAAAGGCAGATTTATATGACGCTGATTCATTCATAGTGTACATTGCGAGAAGAGTTGGAAATTTGCGAACCGTGCTGAAACTTGTTATGGAATAGAAAGTAGATGAGTAATGGGGATTTTAGAACAAAATCAGATGAATCGCTAATCATAACGCATTTTTCAAGTGAGGACATTTCTTTGATAAAGCTGAATTGATTTATTTCCAGTGAGGGGGTCGAAGATATTGAACCGATGCCATTGCCTATTTCGTAATTTTGAACTGTCCTCGATATATACCCACTACATTTATAAGTGAAGTATCAATTCAGGTGATATCTCGTCATCAATTATCAAAACGTCCTCCAGTGGTGAGTGAATCTTGTCGTTGCCGAAAAATATTTAGTTTTCACAATAGTATCAAACTGGTACAATTTACTACAGCCTGCTTAGCTTCTCTCTCGCCCAAACAAACCAATCATCTAACCTTTCCTAGACAATGTTATCAACCATTCTCAACCAAACTCACTCCTTTCCGATGAACTGTCTCTTTGTACTAGAAACCTCAATACTCATCTACTGATCACGGAATGGAATCTACCGCCAAACTTGCTCCTCTGCTGCGGCAAATAGTGCGGTAGATAGTATTCATACTTACCCAGCAACACCAAAAGGCACACGATCACGGCTAAAATGAAATCCTTAGAGGGCATGATGGCACCTGCAGACGCCAGCTCCAGCTCGCAATGCCCGCCCGTGTAGCCCAAAGGGCAAATGCACTCGTACCTGAGAGGCGGCTCGTAGTCCTTGCAAATGCCGCCGTTAACGCATGGTAGCCACATGCACTCGTTCTCGTTGACGCATGTGCTCTCGTGGAATTTGTAACCTTGGGGACATCTAAACGGGGCAACATACGGGCTGGTTAACTACTACTCACCCTAGCGCGGTCGAACTCTCGTTGCTTTGGCACTGAATCTTATATTGTTAGGAAGGTTGAGAAGAAGAAAACGACTAGAGACTAACAGTGCGAACAGTTAAAGCCGAGGGTAGCAAGCTGTTGGGTCGTTGAATAGCCTGATGTGGATAGTGTAATCACTTCGTGGTTGATAATATAAACGAGGATATGCCAAAGATTTCTTCTCGAGTACTACTCAGGACTGATTCTATTTAACCATCATAAGTAGTTTTTAGGAAGCGCTTCATTTTGTGTGACGATGGGATGCGGGATCTCGCAAAACACTGGTTACGTAAATATCTATCTAAGATCCTACCGGAAAGAGTATATTCGGGTGTCATAGGTACACTAATAATCGTTTGTTCATTTTGTTGCTTCTATCCGTTGTTTGGGGTCTCATCAACCTTAGCAGTTAGAATTCTCTTTGTCTCAGCTCTATTATAAACATTGTTTTCTCAAACAACTCATTTTGGTGAGAATTTCAAAAATAGCATTCCCGTTTAGAAGTTTCAATTGATAAATCTGTATCAGTTTGGATTGATAGTTCTAGAAAGTCTATTCATAACACTGCAATGCGTATTTTGACGACATGATATATTATCAAAAATAAACACTGATACGGTTGGAAACTCATCAATTGCAGGCAATGAATAGATCCTTTGACAGCAACTGAATCGGAGCCGACGAATAAAAAACACTCTCCACATCAGACCGAATATTATTGTCATGCGTGGCGTGTTCAGGCGATATCTATTAAAGAGTGCCAATTTGAAGTATGAATAGATATGGGGATCAAACCCAATGACCATGTTCGTGTATTTGCAGAGATAAATTTACCGATTTTGGTTTGAGGGTCAATAATGAAGCCGGACACACATCAACAGATTGGTCGAAGCAATTAGTTACAGATGTGACCTCTTTTCTCTTCCATTATTTGACTGTGCAGCGATGATTGTAACAAAAAAGTTGATCTAGTTCAGAAAAGAGGAAAAAATAAACTGAACTGAAGTGTGCATCCTTCTGTGTATTTTCTTTTATCTTATGTGTTTAGGGCTGTTATTACCCCTAGTTCTCATTTGGCTATGTCTGAAAGTATTTCTAGTCTTCTCCGATTAGTATGATATAGTAGTTTACCTAACAAGTTCGGAAAATTCACTTTACGCACTACTAGCGTGCGGAAGAAACCCACATTTCTCTTTCCCACACTCAAGTGCTGGAAGAGTTTTCGCACTAGTGCGGAAACGTATATATATTCTTCGACTGATAACTATCTATCTGAAAAAATGAACTCACCGGATGTATTTCATGAATACAGAGAAGACTACAGCTCGATTAGTTCGACCAACCTGATGATACGTCAAAATCGTCGATTTACTGACCCAACCAAAAAAACTACCTAGACCGAGGTCATTGGGGCCCCCGCGGCTATCCCTTGCCACATCGATTCGCTCACTTAATATGATGAGCAGGCAGACCAAAATGGCCGCCAGAGCGCCCATGCTGAGCTTGAGCGTCTGCCCCTCCTGGATCAGCTCGCAATTCTCGCCCCAGAAGCCGTCGGGGCAGTTGCAGCGGTAGCGCAGGCGCGGCTCCAGATTGACACAAGCGCCGCCGTTGAGGCACGGCAGGTCTAGACACTCGTCCTTGTCAGTGCAATCTTTGCCGTCGGGCGACATGATGCGACCTTCACCGCAACTATATACACGCAGGCGGAAACAAACGGTTTATGGACATGCATAGCGACACGATAACGTTAATTATTCAACGACTACGAGATTCTACTGTCCACAAATTGTATTCTCGATGTTATTTCTTCAAGAACTACAAACGTTTAGATTCCACATAAACCGGTCATACTAGGGTCCCTTGATGGAAATTGACGTTGAAGTCATCTTAACAGGGTACGGACAGATCCTCGTCTCCTCTCACTCTTAAGTGTTTGTGAAACAGTTTTCTCTACGACTATCGTATACTACATTGATTACATATAGATTAGTAATTGATGAATGAAGATGATTCCAAGACACCGTGGATCCCAACTCATTATTCAACGGTACTCGACCAATCACAGATTCAGAATTTTCAGGATCCACAGCAACTGAGAAGGTTAGACTAATGAGAAACCAGCAAATCTACCAAACAAATTTCTCAAGAAGGCTCTGCTTCATTTTACGGGTCACGTCACGGCTTGACTTTCGCGAATGTCAGATTGACTGATAGAGTCTTTTAAGTTTCAACTCTGATATCTAGAGGATATAATGGAGGCTTGCCGTTCCATAGAAATGTACTCTATGAATATTGAAGATATTCAAGATCTTGGATCTGCATGGATGATAACTATTCCTGAGACCAAAACAAAAATTGTAAGGAGGTTCACTGTAACCGGGAAATTTTATCAATTTTGTAAAAAGTACATTGATATACGAGCAACAAATGTTGTGATTTCCAATATTTTCATGAATTACCAAAAAGGAAAATGTACTATTTAGAAAATTGGAATTAATAAGTTTGCAGCAATGGGAAAACAAATAGTTACATTTTTGAAGCTACATGTACGCAGAAGCTACCAAATCCCGAGATGTACACCGGGCATTGCTTTGCTTGTCAATGCAGGTGGAGGTATAACAGCATTGAAAAGACATGGTGGCTGGAAGAGCACATCGGTGGCAGAAGGATTTCTAGAAGATTCCATGTTGAAAAAAAAACGGCAGATTCGAATTCTTCAATGAATCGAATTGTGTTCATCATCATCAAATAACAGTTCCTTCACACAAAAAACATCAACTAGCAATATGAATAGAAATGTCAGTGTTGATTTAAATGCAACACCGACATTAAATTTCACGAATTGTGAGAATATCACTAAAAATTTAGTCACTAAGTACGAGAAACATAATTTACTGACCTAATAATAATTGTGTTGTTTCATCATTGAGTTCGTTGAAAGATTCCTGTCAATTGTATTATCATATCATTAACATTCATACATCATGTATATTATTTTCATAAATAAAAAATTGATCACATTGAATTTCTGACTATCGTATAGTCGTAGAGAAAGTATAGTCTTCTACTCGCGTATAATAACTATTATTCTCTCGGATTATTCTGAAACTCGCCTACGGCTCGTTTCGGAATCATATTCTCGGGAATAATAGCTATCATTATAGGCTCGTTGAAGAATATACTAATATAGTTCCATCCTTACTCAATTCTGGGGATAAACACTAGATTTTTTACATTCATCGTTATTTAGGTTATATTGAGGTCATAGAGTTCGACCTCGAAAACCCGCAGATACCAATCTTAAATAGAATCAGATCATAATTAGAAATTTCTTTCGCTATTCAGGCTGATTCACGGTGGCAGCGCTGAGAATATTTCAGGTCGACAGAACACAACTAATTATTCAAGGCACCAACCATTGTCGTTCTAGATGACAACCTAGTTAGGTAGTTAGTAGGCAGGAGGTCGCCTACTAGGTTTTCATTTAGATCGACAATGCACCAACTTTTCAGAATAATCCTGAGTTGCGTTCTCCAGAAACGTCTAATGTGCCATCCACCGTGAATCAGCCTCTGTATATTGGATCCTTCATCTTGAATTTTCCAAGTTTGACGAAACAATCATTATCTCCAGCCCCGGGAAACCCCAATAAATACCTTCCAATTTTGAATAGAATCAGATCCTAATTACAAAACTCGTTCGCCATATGATCTTCAACAAGTAAATACCCTGTACATACCCATTATTAAAATTTTGAATGATTTTCTGTAGCGCCCATGGATGTGACGTGACAGCAATGTCAGGGATGCCAGTAGACAATACTAAAGTCTCTAGATCATTAAGAAAGAATGCAGCTATGATCTGTCCGTACCCTGTTACGATGACTTTAACGTTAATTTCCATCAAGGGACCATAGGTCATACATGAGCAATTGGAATATTTCATTTCAACAGGACAACTTCACGAATCCAATATATCATTTGAGGATTCAGTTGTTTTTTTTTTTCAGTTGTCCTGAGCCGTTTTCCAGCAGAGTCCTAAGAACTCTCGAACAGCACTGGGACGTAATGCTCCGACTGGAACGATTATGAGCACCTTCGCAAGCTACCATTACCGAACCTCAGAAAGAAATAAATCATACATTTTGAACTACAACTGTCAGTCCGCGGTTCGCGCTGTTCGTGATTTTGTGCTCGTCGCCCTTGCTAAAATCTTGGTGCATGAGGGGTAGAGAGAATGAATCCACGTACGGTTCAGGTGCATGAACATGAAGCACGAAAGTCTTGGCAGAAGGGCTGATCAGGCGCGTTGAGGTACTGTACCATGCTGCCCGATTATGTGGCTGGAAAGCGGCTCAGGAAGATCTGCCGATATGTCTGGATCCTCGGGTGCAGTTGTTGTGAGTGAGAGTTACGACTTAGTAGGTGAACAACTGATCAGATCCAACCAATACGATTGATAAGGTTTAATTTGAACCACCTTTGACCAGTGGATATACACATATATACCAATTTTAGACGAATATTGTTGTATTGCGGTAGATTCGTTCATACTAATAGTGTTTCCTTTCGTTTGTGAATCTTCTCAAATGAGGTAATATTTTTACTTGAATGACTGGGTGGAATCTATCCGTTTGACGTTCATTATGAATCGAATGCGTATCTATATCCATAAATATTCAGATATAATCATACATACAGAAATCATTCAGTCATCATGCCCAAAATAATATATATATCAAATCTGACAATTTTGTTATCTGTCCATCTTCATATATAAGGAATTGATCGCCTTTAGTCACCATATCCCACTATCCTAGATATCTCTTGGGTGGATGAGAGTTTATGATATCTGAGTGGAATTTTTCCGTTGAATAACATTATCAGAAAATTAAATTTAAAACCGCAATTATGGCATATATATCGCATAAATATATTGATTGGTGAATATTGAAGAATATATTGATTATATCTGATGATTTCTGAATATAAAACGATCAAGGAAAATCAAAATAAGCAACAAAAACATGAATATATTTATTTCACTTGATTCAACTTTGTCACTACCATAAGTACTATTTGTTAATATCTGTGATTAATCTCAAATAATACAACTAAAGATTGCTACATAAAAATGAAACAAACTACTACTCTTACGTCACTCAGAAAAGAAAGAAGGAAAGAAAAAAAACTCAGTGCCGTAGCGAATGGAACTTAAGATTTGAATATCCAAAATAATCGTTCAAAGTATGAAAAGTAGGTGTAGATAAAATCAAAATGAAATTTTGTCATAAATCTCATAAGAAAATCAAAGTGAGTAAACTATAATGACAAATTATATCGAAGTAAGTAACACTACTTTTACTACTCTGAGAAGAGGAAATTCAATGTTTTCAATTCGTGATCATTTAGTTATCGTTGTTCTTAAATCATGTGTACGTACGTGCACTCATAATCGTTCCAAAGATCCACACATTCGAAAGGTTCCGGGCAAATAACGTTCGCGCACGGTTTATTTGAAGGGCAATTCTTCTCCAAATTTCGAGCCATCGTCGCCTGACCCCATTGAGTACCGTTCATAGCCGGTGGCAATGGCAAATGTTTTCCTTCCAAACGAATATCGTCCAGACATCCTGCAAAGTCGAAAATCAAATAGTAGTATACCTAGGCAGGTTTTGTATCACTCTGTTCATCATATCGACATCAGTGAATAGCAAAATAACGCTATTTTACCTTGCTGGGACTGAATGAAAAATATATCCATTTTCCTTTCGCTATCTGCTGTCATTGGGAAATTAGTAATGATGACGACGATATTCAAGATTTATCGAGATGATGTTATTTTGATGTTCTTCAAAACATTCGATGAATGAATACGTAAGCAGAGTGATCTAGAACCTGCTTAGGTAGGTACTATACTTGCGATAGTTCACAAAATAATAGTTGTTTGTTGGCAATGAATAACCGTGAGATAATGAGCTATGCAGTACTGAGATAACCTAGAACTTACCTTTCTGATAATCGGCGTAGACTTCGAAAGTTCGCACCCCTGTATACTCTGCTTTACCTCCAGCATACACTCCTTCCTGCTTGTCCACCAACAACCACTGGTGACCATTGAAGTCGAACGTCTCGTTATACCTTCTTCCTTCGCCTCCGTCCAGTTCCAGAGTGGCTGCTGATCCGTACCTACTCACTCGAGCCACGTGCCATTGTCCGTCATCCACCGGTACCGCACTCAGCCATATGTCTTTCTCTTCGGTTCTCAACGAGTTCAGATTGTATCTGAAATAGAGACGCGAATCCTTTATTTCCAAAATGGCGTATTCGCGATTGTGCTGGTCAGAGACTCTGAAAAGTTCGCCGTGTTCTTCTCGCGTCCTGAATTTCAGTTGCATTTGTGTGGAAAACCGGTCCGGCTCGAAACTGAGTGCGTACTTAACGTAGGACTGTGGCTTGAAAGACGTCGGAATCGTAGCATGAGTACAAGCTGGACCAGTGAAGCCAGGGTGGCACTGGCATTTGGCCTCGTTGAAGCTTCCGATGCAAGTACCGTGTTCCCAACATCGCGAAGTCGTGTCCGATCGACCGCACATTTCTTCGGTTTGAGGACAGCCGGGCACGCTATGCCTCGATAGACCTGGGTGAGCCAAGTCATAGAGCTTCGAGTTGTGAAACAGGTTTCGTATGCAACCGTCGAAAGACTTTCCTACCGGCATGTACTGCCAGTGATAGTGAGTCGGGTCGAACTGTTCCACGTACAAACCTCCTAGTTGAAGGGGAGCGTTGACGTTGAGGTATTCGTTGAAGGGAGGGATAGTGCCTTGAGCTTGACAACTGGAATCATCGAATTCGGGAGGAGTGCCGTCCTCCATCTCGGATATATCAGCGGACTTGCAGTAATCGATCACCATTCTGACGTTCTCCGTGTCCCAAAATATGTCAAGCCTATGCCATTCGCCGTCGTCGAGAGACTTCTTCGTTTTGACTCGAAGTTCTAAAGTCCCCGAGCCAAAATCGAGAAGCAGTCGTGGGAAACCACGTTCGAGCTCGATGGCGATGTAATCTGAAACCATGAGCTCGTCTTTTTCTGGCGGTACTATCGGACCGTTGTACAACAACAATCCATCAGGCTTCCGAGTGATAAATTCAAAGTGTAGGTGGGATTTATCGCACATCTCTAGCGCTGGATACCATGCCCATCCGTTACCCCGGAAACTACGTGAAGTCTGCTGGCAACGTGGTCCATTGTATCCGGCTGGACACGAACACGATAGACTATACCGGGTTTCTATACATCTCCCACCATTGTAGCAAGGTGTGTTCCTGCAATTTTCTTCTTTACTAAAGTTTCTTGCCCCGCACGTGCATTCTGCTAGGACGTCTACCCTGACACCGACCAGAGCTGTTTTGTTGGCATTCACCATGTAAGGCAAGGCACTTATGTCGAGAGTGTTGGTACAGGAACCCTCGCACATCTGGTTCTCGTACAAGCACTCGTCAATTCCCACCATGGTGATGTTTATGCCGACGGCTCGCTCGATCTCTTCGCGGTGCATCAGAACTATGCCATTGAGACGGACCGGTTTGTAGTAGGGGGAGCCGTGAGCAGCGAATCTCACATCGGTAACGGGTGGATGCTTCCTTCTCAACTGAACGCTGAAAACGTCCACGTTCTCCCGCGGGATATTCAACAAGTCTGCGATCTTGTCCCTGAATTTCTCGGACATGCTCTTTGATAAGCTTTGGGAGTGGTAGTCCCATATGCGTATGAACTCCTCGTCTGTCAAGTCGGCTATACGTACGGAGCCGGAGTTGACCACAGCCTCATGAGGTATTTCTTTGACGGTTACCGTTACGTTGGCAGGTACATCGGTCTGCGTATGCTTCCTATCGTACACTTTGAACTTCAGGTGGTAAGTGCCGTCGCGAGTGCCATGTCTCATGGAAATCATGCCTGTGTCGTCGTTCAGCCTGAAATGCGGGTGTTCGCTTCCTTCCCAATAGAACTTCTTATCGGGCAAATCCCAGTCGTCGAGATCGTAGACATACACCCTCCCTATCTCTGTGTCTGGCGCCTGGCCTTGGTAGTTGTAGACGAATATTTCTTTAGATCCCGGTTGCATTTTGTTGTCGTTAACGTCACCAATGACTACTGTGAGGGTACTGGTACCTGTCATCGCCGGGTTGCCGTGGTCTTTTATCACGATAGGAATGTAATATTCTTTTTGCTGTTCTCTGTCGAAGGATCGCAAGGAGGTTATGATTGCCATGCCGTCGCCGTTAGCACCCTCTGAAAAATCATGATTGGTGTTAGAGGGGGAGCATTGAAATTTGTTCATATTGGGTAGGTGATCCATAAATTACAGTGGAGGTGATATAAATCAGGAGGGGTGAAAGAACTTACAGTTACAACTCCACCACATAAACAATTTAATAATGACCAACGATCATGGACAAAAGGACATGTTTCGAAGGATTATTCCTTTATCATCAGAAAATTTATAAGAAGGAAATCTGTAAGAAGAAAACAACGCTTTTTGAGTATGGTTAAACAATCTGAATATACTCACCATTATTGGTGGAAAAAGATTACTTAAATAACTGAGAAATTACTTTCAAACCGCGCATAGTGCGGGTGGGTAAATGTTAGGGAACAAACATTATAACAGCTCTATAAGAGCCTAGATTTCAAAAATGGTTTGATTTAAAGAAAATATTCGAAAGAATCAACATGTGGGTCTGAAATTGTTGAATTAGGTTAACTAATCACAAATGACAATCGACAATAATGACGCTGAGGACAAAACACAACATCAGAATGACACAAGTCACGTCAAAAACTGAGGAATCTTTTGATTCGAAGTGACATAGAACACAAAACATGATTATAGTTGAAATAATAAAGAGTTGAATAATTTGAGACTATCGAATTGAGTTTGTTCATTGAGGGAGTTGAGGTAAGAGTTTTTGACGGCTTTATGGATTTCCCAGGTTTCAAGGAGGTTAATTTTTTTCCTTTGTCACAGATATGTGAAATTTCAATGATATAATTGATCCCAAAAATTATATTCAATGCGGTTAAATGCCTGAAAGAGATCAAAACCAGCTGCTACTCTCGCTTTCAAAAATGTTTCTACAAGCCGAATCTGATTTATTTGTTGATGAAATATTCAACAACAGTCCCCGACATATCATAAATATGTCTATGGTTCATTTTATTGATGAATGAAAATTTCGACGAATACTGACAAGCCAACCTGGACCAGTGTGAAACACCGTGCACTAAATTCATTATCCCAGTTTTCGTGGGCATCGTTTCATCCTCTCGAAGCGAGAGCCTCTCATACCCTTTGTGAATTCTCACGCCCTAGAGCCGAAAGCTTCACAACGTACCTATCGCTACAACAAAATTCAATATACTCACTTTGATCTTGCTCGACTTTGAAGGAAGCTCTCACGATGTCACTCGCACTTGGGTCGAGCCTGAATTGGAAGGGAGGACCGTTGCTTTTCGACCTGTCATCGTCATCGGTTGCCAATAGTTCCACGACCTTTCTAGGTGGCACGTGCTCGGGAACTACAGGGCGATAGTCCTTCAGGAACGTGGGAGCGTTGTCGTTGATGTCCTGGACGATGACAGTCAAGGTAGCTGTGGCAGTTTTCGGCGGTATGCCATCGTCGATGGCTAGAATCTTGACTTGGTGTCTCGGAGTATCCTCTCGATCCAACGACCGCTGGATGCTCACGGTGCCCTCTTGATTGATCGAAAATTGCCGCTTGCGGTCCGAACTCCTATCGATGGCGTAGGACACTTTGCTCTTACCCCCTTGGTCGGGATCTGTAGCCTTGAAGGTCTCTAAGCTCTTGCCGACCTCGGCGTTCTCGAACACCGAGACTTCGATGTTGGGTCGTTCGAATTGCGGCTTGTTGTCGTTAATGTCTCGCAGTCGCACCACCACCCACGAATACGCGACGTGGTATTTGTCGTTGTCATTATCTTCGCCTTTGTCGTTGACTTGAATGCGGAAGCGGAAGCCATTGCTCTGCAACAGGTCTTCGTAGTCTAGCGGTTGGACGATCTTTAAAGACCCGGTGCCGTCATTATTGCGCACCATGGTGAACTTATCTGCGCCATAGCCGGAGTTTTCGATCACCTTGTACTGGAACTTGTTGGTCTCGTCTTCGTCGTGTACGGTTACCGTCAGAATAGGCATCTCGGGTAGCGTGGTGCCGTCAGTTTCGTCAACTTCAGTGAACCACTCGTCTTTGGTGAATTGTGGTGGCATGTCGTTGATGTCTTTGACTCGAATAGAGGCGGTTCCCGTTCCTTTCAGCCCTCCACCGTCCATCGCCACTACTTGTATGGAGTAGTCCGGCGTTCTTTCTCTATCCAAACAGCACACCGCTGTTTTGATTACACCTGTTTCGGGTTCAATCTCGAAGATGGGCGAGCCTGTTTCTTCTTCTATGACGTTCTTCTCGATGGAGTAGACTAGCCTCGCGTTGGTGCCTTCAGAGGGATCGTCGTAATCGACGGCTGTCATGGTCATCACCACCATGCCTGCGGTGCCGTTCTCGGTGACGTTGCCGAAGTAGACACCCTGCGGGAATATAGGGGCGTTGTCGTTGATGTCCTTGAGGTTGACCTGGACGTCAGCGTAGCCGACTAGGCCTTCGCCTCCCTCGTCTTGCGCGAACACCGTAAATCGCCATTGTGGTCTGCCGTTCGGTTGGTCTCGGTCAAGAGGCTGAAAAGTCATGGAATTGAATGTGTCATTTAGATTTCTGGATAATGGGGATTTCATTGAAAAATTGAGGTCCGCATTGTGCCGTAACTGGAAAACTCTGATACATTCTCACCAATGAATCTTTAACAGTAGAAACGCATCTTTTGAACACTGATGCAATCTAAATGGAACCAGAAGTGATTGCATATTGGAAAATTTCAAAAATTTTAGTGGTCCACTTGTTTCTTTGAGCACTACAATCTATTCTGAGGCATATATAGAACGTTTGTATAGACCTATCAGGGTGACCCCATGTTTCTATGAAAATAGAATTATATATTGTATCAGAGAATGGCCAAGGTTTCTTCGTTTGTTCAGAAAAATGGATTTCCATTATCATAAAGCAGGCGGGGAAAGTTCTCTCACGAAAATTGTATTTCAGTGCTTCCACTTTCACAACGTATGACATACGGTTTGACTCTCATCCAATTTGGGCTACACGATTTTTCATTTTCGTGTGTCGTCCTGGTGAAGCCAATGTCTACGAGAAGAACGGGACCTTTCGGTAATTACTTTTCTTATATGTACTTTATACAATGCCCTTGGCTGTGTGATTTAGAACTGTAATTAGAAAAGTTCCCTCAGCGGAAAACGTTCCACGATTTTTTATTCCGACATTACTGCAAGAATATACGAAACATAAATGTTATACATTCATTTCGAAATGAAATTGAGTCTACTCAAATTATCAAATAACTACAGCGAAAGAAACTGATTTTAAAGAGAATTCTCAAATTTGTTTCAAGAATAAACTCACCTCGTTAGCTGAGAACGAGGTTGAGAACGCGAGGCTGAGAACTTGTGAATATCAAAAGTTAATGATGAATCGGCTTTCATTAGGAGACAGCATGAAAATCAAATTAATCTATGCAGTTTCATTTAAACGTACATTTGTACAGGAATAACAGTCCGCTCCATAAACCTTCATTCTCCTTACATATAGGTACATTATAATTTCATGAATTTCTTGATTATAACTCATATTCCTTCGCAAATGGCGCAACAAATTCTGTTGATATATCAAATGTATATTGAGAATATAATTGGATAAATCTGTATAGAGACAAAGTAGACGACACACACTACAAAATTTTATTAATTTTGAAATATTTCTCTTTCTTTTTCTCGAGAACTATGTTTCTTTGGATACTCAACATACAAAGTCCACTGTGTCGACTTTCGGTCATAGGAGAACTCAACCAGGTTTTCGCTCTTCACAATGGTTGAGCAAGTGAAATTTTCGCAAATTCTGTTATTTCCATCTCTTTCATGGCTTTATTTTGCAATTTTCCTTTTTGCCCAAAAGTTGAATTATGATTCGCCTTCATTGAAAAATTTGCCCATATATTATTATAATATCCATATCTTACATATAAAACGGCGGCATAGCCAGTAGTGAAGAAGTCGGTATGTTTTCATCTGAAGATCGCTTCTCAAATGAACTAACTATCCAAGAAAGGAATTTCAAGTGACCTCTTCCAAAATTTGCCAGGAGTTTGTGCTGGTTTGCACATTTGTTCTGCGATCCGTGGCTCTTGAAAGTCTGTGTCAAGATTGTCAGCGATTTTGTTAGCTTCAATTATTGTCATTGGGCTCATAATATCAGCCATTTCACGGTGATTTTTAACGCGAACAAGTATTCTTCTGATGGCTATCTGGATGAATTGACTGTCAATGCACACAACATTTTTTCCTTCTTCTTTCGGAACCCGAAGAGTCCCGTTGATGATGCACGAATTCAATAAAAGCTGAATATATGCATCTACACACAGTGAGGATTATTTGAAAATTCTAACATTCATTCTATTTTATGTAGTACATCTTGTCATTCATGAATTCACCACTGAAAGTCGTAATAGGTCGCGTGCACGATGACCGACCCTGGAGGTAAAATAATGAAACACAACCTCACTTTACTGTAAAACATGAAAACACAGCCCTACTTTTTTCATTTGTTTGCAGAGGACCAGAGGAATCAAAGAATTGAAATATTTTTTCACAATATTTTGGCATACGAATCGTGTTCTTGCGCAATTCATTAATTGAGGCATTTTTCAGGTAAATAGTAATCTCACATAGTTTTCATTATGAAATTTTGTCATTTCTTATTAAAATTCCTTCAGCCACTTCTGCAATGGAAGCTAATACTGCTATTAGATTGAACATGTCTACAACACACACGATCACATTTCGTCAGGATGTTAGACCAGTCCTCCCGTTTAATTTCATGAATCCAATCTTCTTTTAGAAATTTCACGAGTATTTCTATTAGCTCCTATTGTAGAAGAAATTTCCTATGTGAAATCAGACCAAATTTGTAAATGAAAACTATATGTGAGTGACTATATGGTAGGTACTTACTTTTAAATCATAATCATAATGTACCAACCTGATTCCTTCGACTCTCGCTGCATTTTTTGTGCATTTTACAACAGCAAAATGTGATGGCATCATGCGCGACTTAATGGATAGCCGAAAAACACGATTCGTATGCCAAAATATTTGTGGAAAACTATTTCAATCATTTGAAAACAAATAGGAAAAGTGAGGTAGTGTTTCAATGATTCACCTCCAGGGTCGGTCATCTGACAGTTCTTGCACGCAACCCATTGTGAAATGAAAATGAAGATGTGAACTCAAATGAATGTGTTTGAAACTTCGGCAATTCAGCAAGATTCTCCCACGCCTTGCCATTTTTACAAAGTAGGCGACATCGAGAGATTTATAAAATCCTTTCAATAGGAAGTGATAATACCATTTGACTTTCTCTACATCTATTTTTTCTGTGTACCCTTGGACCGGTCCTGACCTGAGCGAGGATCAAGGTGGAAGGAGTGAAAGGACTCACCTTCAGGACAAATATCTCCCCGGTGGTCCTATTTATGTCGAACTTGCTGTTAGCGGGATTATCGGGATCAATTCCCTGTCCTGTCAGGAAGTAGACGATGTTCTGCGGTCTGTCCTTGTCACCGTCTGTCGCGGTTACCTGTGTTGGAAAATAAGCGATTAGTTGGGTCATTGGATCATTGGGCAGGGCGTCATTCACTTGTTTCTCTCAAGTTCGAATTTTGAAATCAGGAACGGTGATTTAGTTCCTTGAGACCCATATTTTCAATAAAAAAAAAAAAGAAAAATTGAACATCACCTCCGGTTTTGCCGGAAATTGACTAAGGTCAAAAATTCTCAATGGAACCCTCTGTATATTGTAATGGAGTGCCTTCATAGCGAAAATATAGGTCTATATTTGAGTTTCACGTTTGAAATGGGGAAAAATGCTATATACACCTTGGTGGTAATAGTTATTTATACACTAAGGTAGTGAAGAATATCATTCTAACCCAGGGACCAAGATTATAATACCCCTAGGCTTCAGCCGTATTCATGGAGAAAGTATAGTATGTAACGCGTTCATAGACTCCTCTAGACAAGTGTTACGAGCACATGTAACATATAACACTATTTTTAATTGAAAAATAGAACAAGAGGCGTAGTCTGTTAAGCACTCATCTGTACATAAAATGACCTATACTTTGATGTTTATTTGAAAAATCGAGGAAATTCAATTATTTATAGGAATTCTGATTGGCACTGAATAAACATTTTTGCGTGTTTCAGAGTGCTTCGCCTCTTTGCTATTTAATCAGATTTCTTGAAACAAATTCGATCGATGACGTCACAGTGTCGCCATATTGATTTTAGACAAGATGTCTCCTGCGTGAGAATATAAGTATACAGGGTACCATTTGTAATTCAATTTTCGTTGGAGCCGGAAGTGATATTCGATTGTTTTTCATGGAAAATATGGGTTTCAAGGAACTATACGATCGATTCGATCAAATTTAAAAAAAAACTAAATTCTAGAAACAATTGAATCACGCCCTGTCCAAATATCTCGTTGGCGTTTGTTTCACATGCAAATTCAATGACGTTAAGTCCGTTTTCGTAATCTCATACTGTTATTTCGATTTCGAAAAGTTAATTTTAACAGCCTCCGTCCGTTAAAATTGTTTAACGGCCGGCGGCCGTTAACTGTTCCATAACAATGCGATGTTGGGATTTTCTTGTTGAATTACGAAGTTCGTCGTTTGTTCTTTCCTCGGAATCAAAATGTAATGTCTCAGCGGGATTACGAAAAGTCTTGAACGACACACGGCCGTTACACAAATAACGGATTCGGTTGTTATAATCCTCGGCTGCACCTCGGATTACAATATATAACCTCATCCGTCATTTGCTACATATCGGCCTTGTAACTAATAACAATTATCTTATTTTATTCAATTCCTGCCAAGTTATTGTTGGAATGGTTAGCTAGCCTTAAATGGACTTATTTTTCATAAGTTTCAAGACTCGTTTCAAGCCAAGCTCTAATTATATACCAAACATTTCCAACTCTAAACTTCCACACTGTGTGGGTTCGAACTAATTTCTATACAGTATCATGTGGGATTGAGATGGAATATAGGAGAATGACTAAATATCATGCAATGCAGTTCCCAATGTAACTTTGTGAGCTTATTCAGGAATAACCACTATTTCATACACATTGATAGAGCACAGCATACTATAACTACTAATACTGCTAATATCTGTTTGTCACACAATACCTTATTTACAACTATGTATGGAACGGATATGATTCTATGCGTTTTGAATAGATTTTATGTCCTTTGTTCTCAAACCCCTTTGAACACAAACTAGTATCATTTTCAATTGGGCATCACCATCCTCATATGAAAAAAACTAGCGCAGTTTGGTAGGTTTAATGTCCAACAATATTTTCCAGTTGAGAAAGTTTTTTATTAATTCTCTTCCGGATATTTTTTACAGGGAGTAAATAACTTCAATGCCCTTTATATCTGTTCATCTCAAACAATAAATATTGAAATAGCTATATAAAGTTTCTTCTGATGGTGAAATATTGTTGGAAAAGATTCCTTCTAAGATATTTACCGAGATATTTACTCTATACCTGGCATTTAGCTGCTTAAATAAATTCAACTTCTTGCATGGTTTCTAATTTGTAACAAAGTTGGAATTGAACTGCTTCAGAAGTTTCAACTTTCCAAATGTTTTGAAAGGCAAGGAACTCCAGGTATGAATGCGTTGTTTGGATATCAAAAAGAATTACAGTATGTTTCACTTTGTGGAAGACAAATCGAAACAATTATCACGAGATGAATATTAACTGAATCCAATATCAGGTGAATATCAGAGGTTTTTATAAATATTTTTACAAATCATGAAAAAATTTGATGAAAGTATGAAAGTGTGGAAGTAGATGCTAGCAGAACGAACTGGTGAGTGCTCGTGGTCCTGGAATTATTCCGGATGTATCTACGCGAAGAAGCTGACCAATGGGAAAGCAAGGTGAAACGTCGTGTTTTGGCGCTGAGTTTGCTAAGCAGGCCAAGGTCAGAAAGGCGACGCCGCAGACGGTGGCTACCATTCATTAGGCCTGTTCCTTTCCTATGAAAGTGTGACACTGAACTACATTTTCTCCAAAATAGCGTTCCTTTTCTTCAGTGTGTTGCTTTTTCCATTACACCTTCTCGTTCCTTTGTAACGGTGTAATTACCGAGGCTATAGACGGTGTGAAATACACTGACAGATGTTGAATCGTTAGTTTTGATATAAGTAGCGAATCAGAGGGAAATCTAAAGAACTATAAATTATTAATTATTTTATAACAATAAAAGTTAGCAAATTCCGTATAAATGGTATACCTCCGAGTGGATCTGCGTGAAACTGAAAAACTAATCTTTCATAAATTGAAATTCGGTTAGTACTTATTCTTGACAACTGTAGGCCTACATGGAAAAGAGACTGTAGCAGTTTGGAATTCTCCTGGCTAATTTTGAATAACGAGATTAACAGGCAAAGATGGTCATTTTTCAAGTACCCTTAAGTCATAGGCCTCTCAAAGGCTGTGACTTGATGAAAATAGGTAGGCAAGTTCATAAAGTTTTGGAAAATGAATCAAAACTGGTGCTAAGAATACTGAACAACTTTTTCACAGGCGATGTAGGCACATCGCACCACATCGAAATTAGATGATACTCAGAATACTCGGCCTGCAAATACCACAAAGTTATTGTTTTGTTCTGCTTCTACCGAGAATATTTACCCTGAGTGAGAAAAAAAAACTGTTAATTAGAAACAAGAAGAAGGCTATGTGGGCAGCTATTACTTAAAAAATCCCGAGAAAATTTATATCGATATGCTATTCTCTGGTTTTGTTTTCACAGCGCCATGATTGTAAACAAATGATGTCTACACGATCTCCACTCTATTCCTGTTCCTCTAAAATTCCAACACTCATCTACACTATCAAATCAGCTGGTTTCCAGTGATGGTGTAAATTACACTACACTGAATGCAAAGGAACAAAGCTATAGAGTTAACTTCGTGGTCAGGTCATTTCATGTGAAGTAGAAATTTTTGTGGTGATACTCTACGATTGAACGCACCAACATCGACAATCGAAGAATTTTAGTGGTGCACTGACATTATTTCAAAAACTTTAGTGAAGTGATGGCGATTCGTCAGGACTCTAGACGTACAGCTAAGTACTAGATTTGAGATTTTTCTCCAAATTCGTCCAGATTAACGATCAATAAATCGTATTTTGTAGCGTACAAGTTTCCAAAAATAATCCTCTCACCAATCGAAGGACCTATCTCTGAGAAATATAAATTTATTGAGCAACTTGTGTTCACGCACCCTGTACATTAGATTGTTTTAATGATGACAAATAGGCATTTTCCACATACTATATATATTGAATACCTATGGAAACAGTTTATAATGAATAATTACCAATAATGAAAGCGATTGAAAAGCATCATCAGAACATCAATAACTGGATGCAGAATGCAAATATTCACTTTATATAACATATAATCACAGCAGTTCTGTAATAATGAACAAGAAATGAGATATGTGGTATTGATAAAATCAATGCTCGATTAAAATTATAGCAAATTTTATGTTGAAATTATCCAGATAGTTTGATTTCAATCTCGGGAGTCTGAAAAATAATTTGCTCCTAGACAAAATGAACTTTACCTCAATATAGTACTGTTTTTATGCCTCGAAGTTAGAGGACCTACGTTTTTTGAAGGGTTCGCCAAGAGTATTTTTGACAGTAATGCCAATTTGATATGTTCATACCCCCACCCCTAGCTACTCCAACTTCGAAATTTCAAACTACTTCTCTCCTTACATGATATAATTTCATGATACAAAAAACATCTACCCTGAAGATCACAAAAAATCGACAACTCAACACATATCACCATATAAATTACATTCATTTAGTCAAAAGACCCTTGTTTTTGTGCATGGCCCAAACTTTCTACATTTTGTTTTTGTACGTGCTTCGATTTCGGTAAAATTATTTGGATCGCTGACATTTTATCGCCGCTATACATAACCCGAAACATTGAAAAAAAGTTCATTTAATTATAAAGGTTTTATTCCATTCGTCAACCTAAAATGCGAACGTGTGATAAATGCAATCAGAGTTTCCATTCGGAGGGCTTGAAAAATTATTATTTTATAACTCGTTTTATAATGAGTTAGTAGTCACATATTCGACCCAGACCCATTAGTCTGACATCCTTTCTGTTGAAAAGCATGGAGAAAATACTGGATGGACACATGAGGTGCGGTGTACTAACAAAACACCCCCTTAATGTTCACCAGTATGCCTACCAAGCTGGCAAATCAACAGAACTTGCCCTCAATAACCTGGTCTCAGGAATAAACGACGCCCTGGAACAACAGGAGATAGCAGTCGCAGCATTCCTGGACATAGAAGGAGCATTCAACAATGCACTACCTCATTCCCTCTATGAGGCTACTGCCTCCAGGGGAATTGAACCAATACTATGTGACTGGATAAGAACTATGCTTCATAGCAGAACCATAACGACCTCCCTACAGGGGGAAAGTGTCGGCTTCAAGCCAGCCAGGGGCTGCCCGCAGGGGGGAGTCCTCTCCCCTCTGCTGTGGTCACTGCTGGTG